ATCATTTCTCAAGACTTTGGGGACTGCTAATTGAGAGTATGACCCTTCAGTAAGCCTTTTATGTTTCCTGATATTTGGGTCCATGAAATGATAAAGTAAACTGTCCTTTACTATGAATTGTTCTGCAAATATCATTAACCTTTTAGCTTCCATGTTTGAGTCGGGAATCTTTCTATTAATCAAATAGTCTAAGATAGGTTTCAAGTCTGGACATTCCCACTGCAGTTTTGATACTTCTGAATTTTCATGGGTTATAGGTTCCTTAGATGGTATTAAAGGTTCAGTCTCATCCTCAATGTCTAGTGATGCTAAAAAGGGGATGTCAGTGGCTACTGAGCTAACATTTTCAGATTCAAGATGAAGTTCACACAATTCCGGAGAAAGGGAAGAGATGGTATCATAACATCTTCTACTTAGAGCATCAGCATTTTGATTTTTCACCCCAGCTTTATGTACTATCTCAAAGTTGTATGGTTGGAGAAGGGTAGACCAACGAGCCTTCCTTCCATTTTCAATTGTTCTAAGTCCCTGAATGTATTTAACACCTATATTGTCAGTAAATACTTTGAAAGCTGAGTTTGCCAAATAAGGATGAAATTGCTTGACAGCTTCTACAAGAGCTAAGCATTCCTTGTCATAGATACCCCATTGCTTTTCATTTCCTCTAAGAGCTCTGCCTCCGTAAGCAATAACGCGTTCATGACCAACATCATCAAGCTGACCCAAGATAAAACCTATTGCGGATAATGAGGCATCAGTAGAAAGAATAAATGGTTTAGACATGTCAGGAAGTACAAGAATTGGGGGTGAGATTAACCTTTCTTTCATAGTATCGAAGGCCTGTTGACATTCATTTGTCCAGTTAAATTTCTCTTCTTTTTTCAAAAGGTTATTTAAAGGTCTAACAATATCAGAGTACCCTAAAACAAATTTCCTGTAGTAGTTACATAAACCAAGATATTCTCTGACATTCTTTTGATTCTTAGGGACAGGAAATGATTTAACAACCTGAATTTTTGCAGGATTAACCTCTATACCATGGGCAGAGAAAAGATGACCAAGGTATTCAACCTTCTGTGCTGCAAACTTGCATTTCTTAGGTTGTAACTTTAAATCTGCTTCACGTAGTCTATCAAACACCATTTGCAAATGTACAAGGTGTTCCTCTAAGTTGGAACTGTGGATGAGAATATCGTCAACATAAACTAATGCAAATTTGAAGTTAATTCCTTGCAAAACTGACGACATGAGGCATTGGAAAGCAACAGGAGCATTGCGTAACCCGTATGGGAGTCTCTTAAAGTTGTATGTACCCTTATGACAAATAAAAGTTGATTTTTGTTTGGTTTCAGGATCCAGGGGTATTTGATGAAAACCAGCCCTAAGATCTAAAACTGTAAATATCTTTGACTTGTTTTCTGCAACAGAGTCTACTACATCTTCGAACCTAGGTAAAGGAAAGTTGATTGGCTTAGTAACAGAGTTCAGTTTCCTATAATCTATTGCAAAGCGATAACTTCCGTCACGCTTTTTGCACATTACAACAGGGGCTGCCCACATTGCATTTGATGGTTCTATGAAGTCGTTTTTTAAATAATCTTCGACTTGTTTTTCAATCTCAACTTTAACTGCAGGAGGATACCTATAGGCATTTTGCCTTTGGGGAAGTGCATCACCAGTCTCAATTTTATGAAAGTGTAACTTAGTGCAACCTAACTGTGAAGTATCTTTTGCGAACATGTCTTTGTTGTTATAGATAAACTTTTTGATTTTAATTAATTGCTGTGGATTCAAGGTACTGCCTTCCAAGGAGATACCAAGGTCATTTATGACAGAATCATAATCAACAGCCTGAGGAATTGCCGAATTAACACCAACTTCTACATCATGACTAAGATTAATGTCATTCTCTTCACTTGCATCAAATACCCTTATAGAATTTTCATTGACAGGAGTCAGTTTACCAACTACGTAGTTGCTTTTCAGGGTGACTTTTATTGGTAAAGGATTCAGGATTCGGCAGACAGAGGTTCTGTTTTCAGGTTTTGTAAGGGTTCGTGCACATGTAACTTGTCGTGTGATAAGTGATTGCACTGGTTCTAGTAACATGACTGTATTCATGGGAACCTTGGACACTTTGATAGGGACTACAGTTTCAGACATAGGTTGCAAGGTTACTGATTTCTTAAGGCGAGCAAGCCCAGTTCTTAAACTTGAAACAAAGTTTACAAACGGAACACCAGACTCACTCTCAAACATAGAGGTTTCAAAGTTAAGTCTGCATTTGTGCTTTCTTAGGAAGTTTATCCCAATGATAAGATCATGATGAATTTCATCAAAGACATGAAAAAGTTGTGTAAATGTAGAGTTACCTATGTTTAGGTTTAATGTAATGGCACCTTTCACTTCAATAAGTTTTCCACTAACACCTACTACATGTGAATGTTCACTTTTCTGCAGGGATTGTGGATGGGGGAAAATTTTCTCAAGAAGTGATTTTTTCACACAGCATAAGCTTGATCCGGAATCAACAAGACAACGAACAGAGTTATTCCCTATCTTTATATCTATGTAGTTATTTTCTATGGCAGTTTTCACAGTAACATTGGCAATTGAGGGAACATTTGATTTAACATTTCTGTCATTCATTGAATTTGATTTATTTTTTGAAGTAAAAGTATGTTGTTTTGAATGCGATGAAACCTTTTTCATGTTTGTTTTATATTTGTTGTGTGTTTTGCTAAAATGTGATTTTGGCCTTTCCAAATGGCTCCCCCTAAGACCACTGGCAGGCAAAGATTGCTATTGACTTTTTTGTTTACCCTGACAAATCGGGGCGATATGACCTTTCTTGCCACACTTATGACAATCTTTGTTCAAAGCATAGCATTCATTAGCGGCGTGTTTAGGGTTCTTTCGACCGCAACGATAACATATGTGTAAGGATTTTTCTTTATTAGAATTGAAAAGCCCTCGTGACATGTGATCCTTGAAATTTGACCTGGGATGCTGTCTATATGTATCAGATTTGTGTGATGTTTGTTGCAAATGATGAACAGCATTGACTGAAGCTTGGTTTTGAGCAATTTGGTTCACTTGACCTTTTATTTCAGCTAGGTGTACACCCATAGCCTTATTGAGAAGTTCACTTAGTGCTTGTTCTGAAAAATTGACCTGTGCGGGCATGACCGAGTTTGCACTTTCTGACAATTCAGCAGTATTGAGTAGAGCGTCTAAAGATGATGGTGGGTTTCGTCTTAAATCGGCTTTAATGTGTGGAAGTACCCCATTGATAATTGCACTTAAAATAATTTCCTCAGAGATTTTTCCTAGCCTAGCTTTTTGCTGAACCTGAGTTATAAAATCTCGAATAGACTGTTTGATACCTTGCTTCATTTGAAAAAGTTCTGCATGAATTTGAATAGGGTCTATTCTTTTACCAAATTGAAGAATAAATTTGTCTGTTAGAGTTTTAAAATCATTTTTGACCTCATCTGGCAAGTGAAAAAACCAATTGAATGCTGAACCTAACAAATATAATCCGAACATATTGGCTAGATCAATTTCTTTTAACTTCATAACGTGACCATAGTAAATATATTTCTTTAACCAAAAATGAGGTTCGTCTCTTAACGGGTCAAAAATTTTTCCAAATATATAAACATTTGGGCCCACCCTTTAACTGTAAATGGGTTTAGGTTTTTGATTCCCAAAGCTGCTTGGTTTTTACTTCCTTTTTTTCTTTGAAAATTTGGGGGCCGGGCTGAACAAAATGTGGCCCCTTTTTGAATTCCGGGGTTCGGAGTCCCTTTTCCCTAAATTTATCACGGGAATCTGTAGCAGTGTTGTTGTTTACTTCGGCATCTCCACCAGTTTTCAGCAAGGTTTCTTAAGAGTCTACGGTTTTCAGCGAGGTTGTCTTTTAAGAGTCTGCGGGATTTTGAGCGAAGTTTTCTTTTATGAGTGAGAGGTTTTCGGCAAGTTACTATGGGGAATTATTCACCAACCGTGTAGATTTTTAGCTTGAAAATGAAGAAGAAAAGTAATATAAATTTCCAGTATTTAATGTTGTCAACAGAATGGTCTAATGAAAAGATAAATACAAACATGAGAAAAATAATGAATAATTGTAAGAACAAAATGTATGTGAATAAAAGAATGAAAGGAACTAAAAGAACATTACACTTTATGAATTGAAACATAATAATACAATTGACAAATATTAGAAAGAAGTGATAAGATACAAAATATAAAATAAACATTTAAATTAAACATAAAAATATAATGAAAATACATGAAAATTGCTCAGTGAGAAGTTGTCAACAAATTAATTGATAAAAATAACTTTTTGAGGAATTGCTTAAGAATTATTAAAAATCATTGTACAAAGTTACAGACAAAATTGACAATAATAAACATATGAAATGCTTACCTTGAAAATGAAGAAGAAAAGTAATATAAATTTCCAGTATTTAATGTTGTCAACAGAATGGTACTGTGTAACAACACACTGGCCTTTTATATGAATTTGTAGTCAAGCATTTCACCTTAACAACAAACAGAAATGAAGACATGGTGATAAATAGAATTATAAATGTAATATTACTGTCTTATAGAGAATTAAGATTTATTTGTCCATAAGACACAAATACAAAATAATATGTTGAAAAACTATTGATAAAAGTTTTCCTGTAACAACAGGTACACTAACATGATTACTGGACAGATTAGTAAAATATATAATCTCTTTGTTTGATAAAATATCTTTGTGACATTAGGAGCATTAACGATACATACGATGCTTTTATACCATAGTTACAGTACTACATATACGGTAGATGCATGCTGCTTTAATAGTTTACTATATAGAAGTTATCTTAACCACCTTAGATTTTAGAGCCTAAATCTTTGTTTTTGTAAACTTTTTATAATTTGTTGCCAAAGAGCTAATCAATGTAGATTCTATGACCTAAAATTTTAAACAGATCATGTATGTTTTATTTGGTTATTTGTAGCAGTCTGCTGCTGGATTTTGTCTGATACTAATGGCCGTCTACTGGGCTACAGAGGTATTTCCGATTGCTGTAACAGCCTTACTACCTGTTATGCTGTTCCCAATGACCGGTCTTATGACGGGAAAAGCTGTCTCTATGACTTATATAACGGTAAGTAGCAATGATGCATTCATTTTTTGTATCTTGTTAATTTTATGTCATTCATACAGTTCCAATACTTTAAGGAGCTCGACTGAGGTCAAAAAGCCTAAAAACATAAAATTTGAAATTTTAACATAAATCAAGTGAAACACTTAAAGAAACTCCATTTTACCCAATTTGAGTGAAAGGCTTGCAACACTTTTCATTTCTGTGTCATTTTGCACATTAAAAAGTGATTATTCTGGAATAACTGGGTGAGGGGGTGAACGGACATAATCCCCTTCGGACAAAATCCCCTCCGCAAAATGGAAGTCATCAAAAGTAAGGGGGATTTTGTCCTAGGTAGCAATTTTATTGAGGGGATTTTGTCCACTTCAAAATTTCACACATGAATGGGATTATGTCCACCCATGCAGGAAATTATGTCCAGTTAAAAAATACATGAAGGGGATTTTTTCAGAAAGGGATTTTGTCTGATATTAGGGTGATGGATGATGTATACAAGTTATTGGTTCAGACCTGAACATCATATGGTTCACAAATCTATGGAAAAATATTTCCCCAGTCCTGTGCTTTTGTCCAGATATAAGGACAGTTTGAGAGATATTTAGTGTGGTACATTGTATTAGGATTAACTGAGCTAAAAAAAGTAATTTGAATTTGTCTATTGACACCATAGATATCATAGTGAAATGCTTTTATTCTACAGGACTCCTCTATGTTGTTTGTTGGTGGTTTAATCATGGCGGCTGCTGTGGAACACTGGAACATCCATAAGAGGATTGCGCTCAAACTTCTCCTGATAATTGGCACAGAGCCAACCAGGTAAACATTGCATTTTAAAAAAATTTAATGAGCCTGAATTGTGCTGAATTTATGTACCAAATCAAAATACTAAAATAGATTGATTACTTACAGAGTCAGTTAGACTTCATGAATGGATTTGGTATAGATATACATGTACTATGAAATTGATATAGTATTATAATTAATTGGTATAAATATAGTATCAAATATTAATTGTTAAAGAATATGATATAAATTTGGTATAATATTGAATATTAATTTTTATTGAATATTAATATTGTTTTATAAAAGTATTATTAATTGGTTTATGAAATGTTAATTGGTAAAAAATGTGGTTTGAAATTGGCATAATATTGGTATGAATTTTTAAGATTAATGATTGGAATGATGCTGCCATCTTGGTTTCTGTCAATGTGGACGAGTAACATAGCAACGACAGCCATGATGTGCCCTATAGCTGATGCCCTGCTTAAAGAACTTCAAAAAGGGGAATCGGGAACCAGTGAGGATGGTAAAATACTGATACAGAGCATGTGCATTTATGGAATATTTATAGTTTTATGTAAATTTTATGTATGTTATTATTTATATGGTAATATAGAGAATGTTGTAAAAAATCTGTAGCATGACTTGAAACTGTCTTAAACTTACTCAGTAATTCTGTTATAAGTTTTACTTACAGAAATTTTGTGATTCTGCTCATTTGCACTGTCTGTATCTGAAATAATCCAAAAGACTGAGTAAACCTAGAATCTCACCATTAGACCTTAATTTGTGTGATTTACAGTAAAAACAATGTGAGATACGCATGTATAGATAAGTTAATTACTTAATATTTGATTGACCTAAAGAATCTTAGAATAGTTTCTAGTAATTGGCATATTAAAAGTTACCTTTTATTGTAATTAAGTATAGTTTGTATTATTATTCTCTAAAGAAAGAAACATGTTTACTTTTATGACCAGTTTAATTCATGGCCTGTCATTTTAAAGGGACTCAACTATGGTAAAAGCCTAAACAATATAAAATTTGAAATTTTACATAAATCAATAGAAGCACTAAAAATGGGAAAATCTGCATAGGGTAATATAGAAATATATACTAAGAAATTAAATTGAATAAAATTGATAGTTTGTGCAATTCTGAGCCCACTTTGACCGAAAAGCTTTGAAATGCTTTTCATTTTTGGGTCATTTTGTACAATAAAAATGATTATTTTAGAAAAATAGAATGCAGGAATGATTTGAAAATTTGCACACATTGTTATTGGTTCAGATCTTCATCAAATGGTACATTAATTTCGGAAAAATATTTACATCTTGTCATGTCATAAAAACACAGTTGAGTCCCTTTAATGCATGTCCACATGTACATAATTATATGAGTTCATATTCATAAGCATGCTTGATTTAGAATTTAAAGTTGTTGCAGCCAAATGGTATAAAAATATAACTTGTTAACATATTTTACGTTATTTGGAAAAAACAAATATGTATGCACTTTTGACTGAATTTTTCCGATTGACATGTCCTGGTTTTAATTTGGATAAGTTCCAGATTTCAATATCCAAGTATGTACTTAAGCTGAGCAGAGGTTTGCAGTATAATATATCCTAGTCCGATATTTCACAGATGCAAAGATGTAGTCCATCAAACAAGATATAATGTCAACAATAGCTTCATAAGATGGACACATTAGCTTCGTCCACTGTAATAATACCAATCAATCATGTATGAAAATGAGATAATTTATCATTGTACAGTTGTTTATATTTCATAACATTTTCAAGTTTTCTTCAGTCATGCTTGCATATTGTTCAGGTGTTGTTGTCTTGACATTTGTATATGATTCATGTGTGCACTATATAGACTTTATGAAAGATTGTCCTTTATTTTACATATAGGCACTATGAGAGATAGTGCTTTATGGTACATATAGGCACTATGAGGGATGTTGCTTTGTTTCACATATAGGCACTATGAGCATTAGTGCTTTATTTTACATATAGGCACAATGAGAGATAGTGCTTTATTTTACATGTAGGCATTATGAGCGATAGTGCTTTATTTGACATATAGGCACTTTGAGAAATAGTGCTTTATTTGACACATAGACACTATGAGAGATAGTGCTTTATTTTACATAAAGGCACTATGAGGAATAGTGCTTTATTTTACATAAAGGCACTATGAGAGATAGTGCTTTATTTTACATGTAGGCACTATGGGGGATAGTGCTTCATTTCACATGTAGGCACTATGAGAGATAGTGTTTTATTTCTCATGTAGGCAGTATGAGGGATAGTGCTTTATTTTACATGTAGGCACTATGGGGGATAGTGCTTCATTTCACATGTAGGCACTATGAGAGATAGTGTTTTATTTCACATGTAGGCACTATAAGGGATAGTGCTTCATTTTACACATAGGTACTATGAGAGATAGTGCTTAATTTTACATATAGGCACAATGAGAGATAGTGCTATATGGTACATATAGGCTCTTTGAAAGTAGTGGTATGTGATACATAAAGGCTCTTTGAGAGATAGTGCTTTATTTTACATATAGGCACTATGAGGGATAATGCTATATAATACATACAGGCTCTTTGAGAGATAAGGCTTTATGGTATATATAGGCTCTATGAGAGTTAGTGATATTTATGGTACATCTCTTTGAGAGATAGTTTTATATTGTAGATATATAAATTTTGATGGCCAAAAATGTGTTATGGTTGGGAAAAAAACCTTGGTTTATTGAACAACTAGAATTTACTTGGCTTTGCATGAGCGGCTTACATAGGTAAAGAGGATTTTGGTTAGATAAGCTTTTGTTTTATCAGAATATGTCACCAATCATGCAGAATATGCATAATACAAAATTATAGGGCACTTGGTTTCAACTCAGTTGCCATTATTAGCTCCAGTTTTCATGACCCTCTTGTCGGCCTACACAGGTTAACCTTTTTTGGTAAAACTGGTCCCATTTTCTCAGAAACTATGAAAGGTATTCACTTAAAACTTGGTATACATGTTTATTGTCATAATAGGACCTCACTTCAAAAGGGCAGATAATCCTAAATTAAATTTTCAAAGTTAAGTCCCTTTTTCTATGTTGCTTTTATCTTACTTATAATCCAGCACAGAGAAAAGTTGAGTGAGCTGACTTGGAAGGACACTTTGTTGTATTGATTTGCCTTATTACCAATTATTCCCATATCATCACGTCAATATAAATGTAGTTGAGTTGAAACCAAGAGCCTTTGATTATACATGCTGCTTTTCTTACTTGTTCATATTTTAGTTGTAGAAGAGTTTAAGTTAGTGTTAACTTTATTGTGTTATATTACAGTAAATGTTGTGAAATGCACTACTAACTACGGCACAATTTGCTTCACTAACAAAGGTGTTTTTTTTCTTCTTTTTTTTCCTTTTTGTTTCTTGTTCTATGGACAATTTGTTGTACAGCTCTGTGAAATGAGATTTAGTTAAATCAAGCCTTTGATTTATTGATTGCTAACTTTGAAATAATGATGTAATATGATAATAATAACAACAATAATAATATGACTGAGACTAACAATAACTAGCAATATGTTTTAGTTATTACAACAGAAATTGACCTTGCTGAACTTTGGTAATAGATTTTCCTTGTGTAATGGATGTACCCTGCTTTTAAAATTGGAACATTTCACTCAAAATTAGAGACTTCAGTTTCAAAGTACAGCTAGATAATAATTAATTAATAGTTCATTTCAATCCTTTATGGAATTTTTGCAAAAAAAATGACACATTTTCTAACAAATATACTTTAAAGAGTTAATAACCTTTGATAACTTTTACCTGTCTTACAGTTACTCCCCTTTGATAAATTATGTACATGTGAACTTTTTAGTTGGGACGTAGTCCCAACTAGTGCACTTACAAACCCGAAATTTCCAACCATACAGGGTAACGCCCACTGCTGTGACGTTTCATCGCCACTCTATATGCTATATTGTATTCTAACATATCAACGTAAGCTGAATTCATAGTGATCACCCGACCATGACCGACGCATAACCGCCGCGAGTGAAAAATAGTGCTCTGAATTTCTGAAAACTTCGATTTATTGCGAACAGAAGAGGAGACAAGAAATTTATTTTTTGAAAATAATGTGCAATTGAGCTTGAATTACGGTATTAGAAACGTAGCGGATACAATTTGAAAGGTCACATAATTCTATGAATGGGATAGTAAATTAATTGGGTCATAGTGCTTGACGGCTTGCAATATTTAACTTACTCATCCGCCTTATCATCACATTTTTTTGTATTATATTCCAGAAATTTTTGAAAAAGACATTATTTATCGGATAAATTTTGTAGTTTATAATTGCAAAGTGGATATTGAAATAGAATTAGCCAGAGATGTAGATAATCTATTCGTCTCTGAATTAGCCGATAATTAGGAATAAATGAATCCGACAACTTCCGGTATATTTTTTGACCTACTTCACGAGCATAATTATCAGCCTGTTAAGCTCATAAGGTAAGTTATAAAGCAAAATATGTTATGAATTTGATGAATAATAATATTAAGTTTATTTATTGATGCCAATTTGTTTCCGAGGACTAAAACTTTCGTAAATAATTTCGAAGTAATTTGGAGATCTCGAGTCTTTCGTACCCAAGACATTTCGATCATACTTAGACTGCAAATCGACAGATTTTACAAATTGATATTACACAGATGTCTGCCTTTACAGGAAAAGCGGAATATATGCCTACAATTTTTTGGTCTTGTCACGGCCGTTACGTCTCTACCAAATGGGGCACATTCTTGAATATTTCAGAATAATTTTATTTTGACCATTATAAATTATTATATCGTGGACTAACCAGTTCTCAAACCTCTAAGCATTTAAGAGGTCTTTTAATGTAAATAAAAATATATTTTTATAAAAATTCTTTACATATGTACACTTTAATCTTTATGTAATGTTTCTGTAAAATTTGGCTGAAATTCAACTATTAAAAAAGCTCTATTTCCATCTTGGAAAAGCACAACCCTCTGTTTTAAAACTTACATGGCCTCTTAAAATAAAGAACCTAATCTCAAACCCCTTCAAGTATCTCTAAAATTCTACTGTTTAGTTTAGCCAACGAAGTGATTGTTATATGACTATCACATGACAATAAGTACCCTACACGATGCAGTTACCTGCTTTAAGATATTTTTGTCTATTATATTCATTTTCACAAATAGTTAATGGTGTATCTATGGGACTTACAAAGGTAATAGCAATTTGTATGAAATTACGCTATGTAATAAAATATGTTATGTAAATATTTGTTCCTATGCACTGTTTTCATTTGACATCAGCAGACATGTCTGTCAGAAACTAAGCTTTTATGCACACAAGTTCAGGACATCATAGTCAATTGTAGTAAAAAAATAACAGCACATGAATGAAAGGTTTGAGAATAGGTTGGGTGTGAGATTAGGTACTTATACGATATCTACATCTATTTAAAGTCTAGCCATTTCATTTTGGGTCATCTTTTTACAATTTGAATAATTATTCTGGAAAAACAAAGTGCGCAAATGATCTAAAGGTTTGTACAAAGATTAGTGTTCTAAACATTCATCAAATGGTACATTTATCTGGAAAAAATATTTCAGTTCCATCATGACAAAATACCTCAATGGAACCCCTTTAAATTGAATTACACTTTTTTTAAATGTATGGGTAAATTCCATTTTCAGTGGTTGAAATTTTTCCTCTTTTTCTCATTAATCAAGCTATAGTTTCCCATTTATAAAGCCACAGGTTGTTTTGAAAGTTGAAAAAAAAATCACTGCCACCTTGATAATTGTTAACCTGAAAAATCTTCAGGCACTTAAAGGGATTTGAACCCCAGACCTCTTGATTACAAGGCAGACACACAACCATGTCGCGAAAATGTCAACACAACAGCAAGACTGTTGGAAATGATCTATACCTGTTCTCAATACATGGTTGAAGTAATTTATCAGTGTTTAAATTAGACATTTTATATGATTTAACAATTTTTGACACTACTGATATTCACATTTTTTCACAAATCTACATGTAAAAAATAAAGATCATAATAAAATGATAGAACATTTTCTATTTTAGTGGTAATACTGTGGAGTAATATGAAGAAATATTATTAATATTTTATTATCATAAATTTTTCAAATTTTAATTATGTCATTACATGCTGTACACAATCATATTATTGTGTAAACATATATATACATTGTATAGACACATATATACATTGTATATACACACACTAAGAGAGTAGTATTAGATGAATTTGAAAATGAAATCTCTAAATTGATATTTTCAGGGAAATAAAAGATCATTTACTTTAATATTCACTTGGAAAGGCTGGTACATGTAGCTAGAAAAAAGTACAGTATAAGATTAAACAAAGACTAGAAGATTATTACAAACAACAGGTACTTATATAATATTTAATGTATATTTCACAAACCAAACTGTTTTCCAAAAAAAATTAATGAAAACAATATTTGACCTAGAGTCATAAGATTGACAGAACAGTGGCGTGTGGGGGCATCCGTGTCCTATGGACACATTTCTAGTTTCACTTATATACTATGTAGAAATTTTGTGAACGCAACTCCTCTTAAACCGGATGGCAGATTTTGCTTAAACTTACAGGGATGAACAACCTTCAGGTGTAGATGGTAGTAAAGGAAAGAATTTTTGCTGCGACCAAATTTTACAGAATTATGGCCCTTTGTTGATTTTTTCACGATAATTGCTATGTAGAAATTTTGTGAATGCAACTCCTCTTAAACCGAATGGCAGATTTTGCTTAAACTTCCAGGGATGAACAACCTTAATGTGTAGATGGTAGTAAAGAAAGAAATTTTTGCTGCAACCAAATTTAACAGAATTATGGCCCTTTTTTGATTTTTTCATTATATACTCTGTAGAAATTTTGTGAACGCAACTCCTCTTAAACCAGATGGCAGATTTTGCTTAAACTTCCAGGGATGAACAACCTTAATGTGTAGATGGTAGTAAAGGAAGGAATTTTTGCTGCGACCAAATTTTAGAGAATTATGGCCCTTTTTAGCTCGACTATTCGATAAGGATAAGTAGAGCTATTGCAGTCACCCGAGCGTCGGCGTCGGCGTAACCACTTATGTTAAAGTTTTTGTAATAGTTCAAATATTTTCAAAGTCCATTGACATATGGCTTTGAAACTTTGCACACTTGTTCACCATCATGACCCCAACCTGTAGACAGGAGGACGTAACTCTATCAAGCATTTTGACAGAATTATGCCCCTTTTTCGACTTAGAATTTACGTTAAAGTTTTTGTAATAGTTCAAATATTTTCAAAGTCCATTGACATATGGCTTTGAAACTTTGCACACTTGTTCACCATCATGACCCCAACCTGTAAACAGGAGGAGGTAACTCTATCAAGCATTTTTTTGTACTAACAAGCACTAAGAATAGTCGAGCGTTGCTGTCCTACCGACAGCTCTTTGATTTTTAGTTTTCAACTTGTGGCACATGTAGTCCAAAAAATATTTGACCTAGAGTCATAAGATTGACAGAACAGTGGCTTGTGGGGGCATCCCCGTGTCCTATGGACACATTTCTAGTTTTCTTCTTAGTGTGCCTTTATTGCTAAGATCTATTTAATTGACAGACTGTTTTTAAAGTTTGAAGGGATAATCTTTGAAACATTCAGATTGGTTATTAAACTTACCATTATTTACTTTATTTGTAGCCAATAAGTAATTATACCTTTAAATTGTATGCCGTCGAAACAAATTAATTGTATACTGTCTGAATTGTATACACACCAGTCTCTCACAACGCATTACTCACCCCAAATGAGGGTAAAAATAACTCTGACATAAAGAAGTCTGCGTAGGGATGACAATTTTATTAATAAAACACAATATATTGTTCATTGCTCATTGTTTTTCAGAGGTTAATATTGCAAGTGCAAATTTGATAGTTCCACTGTGTTACTATGTATTAAAATATTCAAAACTACTTTCACTTTCGGTTTTAATTTAAACTAACAATTGACGAAATACGAGTGTTGAACGAATACCAATAAAGGATTGTCAGAAGGAGTGTTTTGCGCATGTTTTGAGTAAAAATGATGTAAAGGCTATTACACCAACAGAGTATGGAAAAAGTTTAAATTTTCAAGTGGCCTGATTTCCGTTTTGTTCTATCACTTCGGTGTTAAAGCCGCCATGTAAAAGTAGTGCGTTCCATCATGCTTAGAGTGGTTTCACACAGGTCAGTAAGACCGGTGTACACAATGTACTGTCTGCACATATGTGTCAGAAAAAATATCACAAAAAAGGAATTTAGTATTACTATGAGTATTTATTAAAGAAATTGTATTTCAAATATATTTAAATAGTATTATTGAAAGTCATTTTGTATGACAGACACACAAATCTAGTGCTCTGCATTATAAATGTAAGAAGAGACAAATAAGATAAGCATTTTTTTGCAAATTATTGCACTTCATATAATTTTTATTGCTTTTTTTTAAGGTGGACATGTGTCACTGTCAAGCGAATGAAGATAAGCATCACACTCGGTGGGAATCTCCAGTTTCCAGATGTAGTGATCATAACTGTATAGGCACCATTAACACTTTGGACTAGTTGGAGTATTTTAGAGGGCTAGTCTGAATTGAATCCCCTGTCAATAGTAAAGGCCAGTCATGAACATTGTGTTAAAGGAAAATGTTAAAACTCGGATTTCCCGCTTAACCAATCATTACTTTACCTTATATTCAGTGCGGTAATGTAGGAAATGGTTACTTTCTGGAACGGAGCTGTCAATTATTTTTAATTTTTTAGCTTGTTAGTGTTATCGTCGGACAGTTGTGAAGTAAAGACATCGCAGTTTGACTGTATACAAGTTGCCTTAAAGAAAGTATGTCGAAATCTTAACAGTTATTCGTTGATTTTGTAGAAATTGACCAGAATTCACCTTTGTTTACACGCATCGCTTGGACGTCGAAAACGACATGCAATGACATTTCAGTGAAATTTGGAAACTTGCTCGTATTTTGGAGCATTTTGTAGGATTTCGATGAAGAAAGTGTTTATGATAGGATACATTATTCCTAGAGACAACCACAAAAATAAAATAGTGATCTGGTGTATTTTTACCGAACAGTTCTTGTTTGTTTTGCATGATATTTTTCTCTCGTTAGGGACCTTTATTCTTTATATATAGTATTATGAGCGTATATGGGTAAATGTGGTATATAGTGCCTGTGGTTTTATCATGTATCTTAGCTTGCCTGGTGTAATGATAAGTAATAAACCTGAGAATTGAAACTATGAGAATAAATTGTTGTTATAAGTCCCCTTATATTTTCATTAAGAGGGGACTAAAGGCTGACCCATTTCTGTATGTCAATGAAAGCTGAATTTTGCTATAACTTAAATGGTACAAAAGTAAGGTTCATCATACTGGTATCTGATATAGAACTATACAGAGATTTAGCATGTTATTATAATTTATGCTCCTGAAAGGGAGAGAATATAGTTGCGGTCTTAACCATCTGTCGGTATGGACTCAAGTAATATTATGGATAAATATCTGTGTTCATTCCATACAGACTTGTACTTTTGGGGAAAAAGGTTGCTCATGTGAGGAAAATATGTTTTTAATGGTGTTTTTGAGATTTTAGTTGATAAAGGAAAAAAAACATAGTCTGAACTTAGGAAGACATTTGTCCTTCACACTCTTGTCCGAAATATGAATATAACTAGATATGTATTGAAGGGATTTTATGTAAACTTCACAAAGTGATAGAGACTTTTAAGAGGAAGTGCAATGTTCAAGAAACATAACTCTACCTTGCTTCATGTTTTAATTATATCCCTTAAGTTAAAAATGCTTATTCCAAACTATCACTGAATCTACATCAACTTGAACGACTCGAATTTTCCAATGTGTCAAAGAACCATAACTCCATTCCTTAGTTTTTAGCTCACCTGTCACAAAGTGACAGGTCGAGCTTTTGTGATCCCTTTTCGTCCGGCCGTAAACTTTTACTTTAAATGACATCTCCTCATAAACCACTAAGCTAATTTCATCCAAACTTCACAAGAATGTTCCTTTGGCTGTCACCTTTAAAAATTGTGCAAAGAATTTAATTCCATGCTGAACTCCGGTTGCCATGGGAACCGAAAGAAAAAAACTTTAAATATCATCTTTAAAAAAAACCTAAGAGCTAGAGCTTAGATATTTGGCTTGAAACATCCTTTAGTGAGTGTCTACCAAGTTTGTTTAAATAAAAGCCCTGGGGTCAAAATTGGCCCCACCCCAGGGGTCATTGATTTTACCTATGTGCATATAGTAAAAACTTTATAAAATCTTCTTTTAAAGAACCCAAAGAGCTAGAGCTAAGATATTAAGCATGAAACATCATCTAATGAGTGTTTACCAAGTTTGTTCAAATAAAAGGCCCGGGGTCAAAATTGGTCCTGCCCCAGGGGGTCATTAATTTTCTTTAAATGCATATAGTAAAAACTTAAAAAAATCTTCTTTTAAGGAACTAAAAGAGCTAGAGCTAAGATATTTTAGCATGAAATATCTTCTAGTGAGTGTTTACAAAGATTGTTAAAATAAAAGCCCTGGGGTCAAAATTGGTCCTGCCCTAGGGGGTCATTAATTTTCTTTAAATGCAAATAGTAAAAACTTAAAAAATCTTCTTTTAAAGAACCCAAAGAGCTAGAGCTAAGATATTTAGCATGAACATCTTCTAATGAGTGTCTACCAAGTTTGTTCAAATAAAAGCCCCGGGGTCAAAATTGGCCCTGCCCAAGGGGATCATTGATTTTCCCTATATGCATATAGTAAGAACTTCAAAAATCTTTTTTAAAGAACCCAAATAGCTAGAGTTTATATTATAAGTTGAAACATCTTCTAGTGAGTGTCTACAAAGTTTGTTCAAATAAAAGCCCTGGGGTCAAAACTGGCCCTGCTCCAGGGTTGTCATTGTTTTTAACAGTATGTGTTAGTAAAAACTTAAAAAATCTTCTTTAAAAAAACCCAATAAGCTAGAGCTTTGATGTTTAGCATGAATCATCTTCTTATGGATGTCTTCCAAGTTTGTTCAAATAAAAGCCCTTGGGTTAAAACTGGCCCTGCAGGGTGGGGGGGGGTATATACAGGTGAGCAACCTCAGAGCCATCATGGCCCTCTTATTTAATTATCTACCTTTATTATACATGTACTTAATTATGCTTGTCCAGAGAAATACTGGAAAAAGAGTTGATGAAATTTGATTAAACTTTTACACAGCGAAAATAATCAAGTGAAAGAAAGTGTTTTTTCAAATAACCCTAATTTTTGTGTCGCCTTGAAAAGGTGACATATAGGGGTTACTTTTGTCGGTGTCGTTGTCGGTGTCCCGGAGCATAACTCAGTCACTATAAGTCTGATTGACTTCAAACTTGGTATGCATGCTTCTTTTAATAACCCGAAGTGCAGTGCACAAGGACCGGTACTCTGCAGTTCTTATTTTTTGAGTTATTGCCCTTTGTTAATTTTCATACTTTAATTTTGTCCGGGCCATTTCTCTTCAACTAAAAAAGCTATGGACTTGATACTTCATAGGATGATAGATCTCATTAAGAAGAAGTGCAGTGCACAAGAACCAGTACTCTGTACTTCCTAATTTTTGAGTTATTGCCCTTTGTTAATTTTCATACTTTATTTTTGTCCAGGCCATTTCTTCTAATGAATAAAAGCCATGGACTTGAAACTTCATAGGATGATAGGTCTCATTAAGAAGAAGTGCAGTGCACAAGAACCAGTACTTCTTACTGCATTTCTTATTTTTTGAGTTATTGCCCTTTGTTTATTTTCATACTTTAATTTTGTCCGGGCCATTTCTCCTTAAGTATAAAAGCTATGGACTTGAAACCTCATAGGATGATAGATCTCATTAAGAAGAAGTGCAGTGCACAAGAACTGGTACTCTGCATTTCTTATTTTTTGAGTTATTGCCCTTTGTTGATTTTCTTTCTTTATTTTTGTCCTGGTCATTTCTCCTCAAGTATGAAAGCTATGGACTTGAACCATCATAGAATGATAGATCTTATTGATAAGAAGTGCAGTGTTCAGAAACTGTTGCTCTGCACTTATTATTTTTTTAGTTATTGCCCTTTGTTATTTTTCATATTTCATTTTTGTCCTGGCCATTTCTCCTAAACTAGATTGTTCACAAGGCGACACATCCGACTTGCGGAGTTCTAGTTTCTAGCTTAATTTTACAATTATCATCTCTTAAAATACATGTTCAACAACTTTTAAAATAATGGTTGTCTGGAGTAAATCTTTTCAATGATATCACACTCAAACTAAATACAGTTGTAGAGACTAGTGAGCAGAAGTCTTGTGTCAAATAACCAAAATTCTACATTACTTAGTTTTTGAATTATCTCCGTATATATTTCATGATACTGTTCAGAGAGAGGATTAAAATATTGAAGGAATTTGATTGAAACTTTATAAACGTTATACAGTGAAAGAGATTAGCATGAGAATTGCAGTAAACAAAGGCCATTATAAGTTCTAATGACATGGTCACATTCATATAATGTGATGCAAAAAATATTGACCATTTGAGTGTTTACTTGATACTGATACAGAAAATTTGATATATATCACAATTGATTATTTTTTCATAGCTTTGTCTCGCTTTATAATGTCATGTGTTAAAATAGTCAAGCTTGCAGTTTCCTCTGGTAGCTCTAATTTCACTTGTTGCTCTTGTCAAAAAAGGCCAATAACGGTTTATGATGGACCTACACATACATGTAACCTAAATATTATATTTAACATGTGTGTCATAGAATAATTGTATCATCTACTGTTCATTTACTGAATTGTGCACTTTATATTTATCAACCGGCAACACCCTTCACTCATTGAATTATCTGCCCCGAAATAGAAAAAATAGTTATTTGATCCTTCATACGTCCCAACTGCAGTGCCTTCAGCACTTTGATTATATATTTCATAGGTTGTGAAGAAGAAGAGCTAACAAATGTCAACCTGAAGCAGTTAGACCCTTGTGAGACAGATTTGGATACAGAAATTGCTGTGGATAGGTATTTAAGTTATTACATGTAATAGTTAAAAAAGTATCTTTTCATGTACCTGTTCCATGATTTTAGATATTTGTCATTATTTGCCTGCTAGGGGCAACTGATTCTACCAGTGTAACCAGTACAGACCAAAATCAGCATCATCTGCAATCACCGCATTATTCCTTTACATCGCAATTACACAGTTTAGGTCACATGGCGACTGTCCAGCTTTACTGGTGAAGGAAGACCTTTGTGCCCTTCTGTGGGTTATTTCAGACACAAACAAGCACCTGAGTAGAGTCACCTTGCCACTATAAGTCAGTGTGCAGTCTGACCGCGCTTGGTATTGTCGATATCTCAAGTTTTGTATTCTGATAGATAAACCCCTTAAACTCAGGGCTGTCCTAAATTCAAACCTTGGCAAATTCATTACATAAATTTAGGGTTTTCAAGGTATAAAATTTCTTTTTCAGCATGAGACAAGAAGAAGGTCATATGACTTCATTGCAAACAAAAAGTGCACCATCAAAAGAGCATATACAACTTGCCAAGGCCATGACCATTAGTATAGCATATGCTGCCAATATTGGTGGAACTACAACAATCACTGGATGTGCTTCTAACATTATACTGAAAGGTTTGGCTGATGAGTGAGTGTTTAAAAAATACTTTCATACCTTAGCAAGGCTATTTCAATTAATAAAATAGATAAATACAGAATCCCTAAAGAAAGCCCAACATGGCAAAATTGAAAATGTTGCAGGCTTGGTTTGATTGAGCCTGTTCATGGACGGTACTGGTAGGTTTTAAGATTCCTGATGAACCTGAATGTATTAGCCAATATTTGAAGTTATTTGGTTTGGTTTGTTTGTTTTTTGGGGGGTTTGGGGATTGGTGTTTTTTGGCGTTTTTTTGTTCGTTAAGGAGGGGGGGGTATCATATTTTTAATTAATGTATTTTATTTGATATACATTTATAGATATTAGCTTATTTTATTACACCTTTCTGGAAATTGAATTTAATTCCTGTTTCATTCAAAATACACAATGTACTTTCTAATTAAAAATAGGCTTTATTTTATCGAAATAAGTTATAATTAAAATTGGAAATATGTAAAAACCATACGAAAGTTGGGCATATATGTGTATCGACTTTTTTTACAGAGCACATAAAATAAGAAAAATTCCATAATAAATTGAATGCACTGTATTTTTGTACAAATTCTGTAATTTATAATTTTATTTTACTTACAGAATTTTCCATGAGCGAGGTTTGACATCACCTATATCATTTGGTACCTGGTTGGTTCTTGGCTTTCCAGTATCTCTACTTATCTTTTTTGCACTATTTTTATGGCTTACATTATACTTCAGAGGTTGTAGGTATGTGAATTTGTATGGATAAAGTATAATAACCAAATTGATAATATACATTGTATTTGTAATCTGATCACGTTTTCATGACTATAATATTGTCACCTTAGTGCAGTAATGTGTTAACTCCTTATGTAATTAAATAGGAGTTAACCTGTTACTGCACTAAGGTGATGATATTATAAGATACTAATTTGGATGAGCAGTAATATATTCATAATTGTCACAGTTTAAATCATTTTGCACTATTCAATAGCAACCCAGTCCCTCCACCCGGGGGCACTCACTGTAGAGGTGGGGGAATGAGCAAAGTTTTACTCTTCTATTTGTTTCTGAAGTTCCAAGTCAATGAAGTCAATGAAGTGGTTTTGTTTTTAAAATAGCTGGGTATGTATTTAGTTGTGACTATTAATGCAGTGGCGTTCTTTTGGTGTCAACTTGCATTGGGGGTCTGGCTGCCCCACAGGATGAGACTGTTTTAACAAAGGGTTTGATAATTCAAGTTTTGATTGATGCCTGTTCCGTGTAATTCAGTTTTATTTAAGTTTTGATTATTTATCCTGCACAATAAAGTCAGCAAAGGGTCAGGGTCTGCCAAATTGGGATTTTTTTTAGTCATAAAATCAGATGTGATATAAGGAAATAAAATGGCCGTATTACATTGTATTAGGAATTTAAATGCTCATGGGAATTTTTTATGGAAAAAAAAAAAACAGTTAATTTTTTGCCATTGTGAACTTGTCTATATAACATACCTGTCTAAAGACGGGAATTGACTCCACCTATGTTCCATCATAAGAAATATATACTTATATATAATCATTACAGTTGCTTTAAGAAGAAGAAAGGTAATTCTGAGGGAATCAGAGATTTTGTCAAAAAAGAATACAAGGCTCTCGGCCCTGTCACGTAAGTCAAAAATATTTCAATGATTTTACCAATAACTTCAAATTGTATTATAAATCTTATGTTTCTTTTTTGAAAGGCCTTTAAAAAGGTAATGATGTACATGTAACCATCATCAGAATTTAATTAAAAGGACTCTACTAACATGAATAAATCTTGCATATATTTTGCAAATATTTGATAGCTTAAAACTTCAGTATACATGTAGTTATATGTGATCTCTTGCAAATATTTGATAGCTTAAAACTTCAGTATACATGTAGTTATATGTGATCTCTTGCAAATATTTGATAGCTTAAAACTACAGAGTACATGCAAATATTTGATAGCTGAAGACTTCAGTATACATGTAGTTATATGTGATCTCTTGCAAATATTTGATAGCTTAAAACTTCAGTATACATGTAGTTATATGTGATCTCTTGCAAATATTTGAAAGCATAAAACTACAGAGTACATGCAAATATTTGATAGCTTAAGACTTCAGTATACATGTAGTTATATGTGATCTCTTGCAAATATTTGATAGCTTAAAACTACAGAGTACATGCAAATATTTGATAGCTTAAAACTTCAGTATACATGTAGTTATATGTGATCTCTTGCAAATATTTGATAGCTTAAAACTTCAGTATACATGTAGTTATATGTGATCTCTTGCAAATATTTGATAGCTTAAAACTTCAGTATACATGTAGTTATATGTGATCTCTTGCAAATATTTGATAGCTTAAGACTTCAGTATACATGTAGTTATATGTGATCTCTTGCAAATATTTGATAGCTTAAAACTTCAGTATACATGTAGTTATATGTGATCTCTTGCAAATATTTGATAGCATAAAACTGCATTATAGTTATATCTTATTATCATTATTATTATTTTATTTTTTGGTATTCTAGGTTTCCAGAGGTGATGGTGATAGTGTTGTTTGTTATATTAGTCACCTTGTGGGTGTCACGTGACCTAGGTGGTGCTGGCGGCTGGGGAAATCTCTTTAAAAAGAAGTATGTGTCATCTTCTTAAACAAGTCTGTTTAATACTTAACTTGCTGATTTTGTTACATGAATTTGCCCAGCTTTGAATTGATACACTTCATTCAAAGGTTAACGTGACATATGCTCTTTTTTTTCACTGTCCAGTTGAGTTATATTTGTATCATGTATTATATTATATGTTATATTTATATGTGGTCGGACTGCACATGTATAAAAGGTCAATTATTATCCCCAAATGTTAACTGTTGCTGTTAGAGTTATTGTGGCCCAGGGATACTACTTGTAGGCCCTGGCAGGTTTCTTTTAGTACAGCAGATACTTCTTGTAGGCCATGGCAGGTTTCTTTTAGTACAACAGATACTACTTAACCATGTAAAAAGTACTCATTGCTACCTGGAAAATCTGAACAGCTGCACCAAAGATTGATGTCGTAAAAGATTAAGTACATAAATTTTCATGCCAAAAAAAAATGACTGGCTTTATGTATCAAGTCTGAATACCATCTTACTCAATCCCTTGCCTTTCTCACCATTGATGCTTTGGTTTAAACTCTTAAGCCATACAAATAAGAATACAATACAGTCTCGGCTTGACTTTTGACATAATTATAATTTTTTTGTTGATCTTGTTGTTATTTTCATATTCAGCGCTTCATTCAACTTCTTTAAGTTTTACAACATTACAAAAATATCTGCATGACGCAGAATAGTTGATTAAAGCTAGAGTTTTTGAAGAATTTGTTTATATGTGTTCTAAAATACATTGTTGTGCATTTGATAAATCTAAAAAACAGTGGGACAGGGTATGCAGGACAATAATAAACCCAACAACTTAAGTGGCTAGACTAACCAACCATTTGCATCTGCCATGGAATTTTTATGAATACTCTCCCAGTATTATAGTGTTTGAGGTATATTGAGTGTGTTGGAGGTATATTGAGTGTGTTGGAGGTATATTGAATGACTAATATTTCTGTCTTGCAGATATGTGACAGATTCTGCAGCACCAACTCTTGTGTCAGCACTTTTGTTTCTAATTCCTGCAAATCTACCTGCTTTTTTCAAATCAAGTAAGTGATGTGTTTGTTTGGTTTGGTTAAGTGACTGGGGTATTATTATTAATATTACTCACTTTACTTAAACTTTACTTTACTTGGACTTTACTTTACTTAAGACCTTACTTTTCGGGGTTGGTGGTAATATCACAGTGACACTGTAAATTCTACATGAAATCAAACTTATTACTAAATTTACTAGTATGAATAATTAATTTAGTATGTGTTAGTGTTTATTCGTAAGCATTTACAAAATTAACTGGTCAAGAATGGCTTTAATTTGGTAAATGCTTACTAATGAACACTAACCAGTTTAGTATTTGAAATGATTTTTTAGTGGATTAACTAGTCCTAGTCTGATTAATGGTTTCCCGATTTACCAAATGAATATGATACAAATTATATGAAATACTGCAATCCTATTGGACAAAAAATTATTTTAAAGCACTAAAGGAATATATAGCTCAAATAATGAGAAAAGGCACAAAGGATTTTAATTTTGTCAAATTATTCTTTTTGCTTGCTTGTCAGGGATATTATGAATTCATTTGGACCAATCTGCATTTGTAAATTTTTCTTTGTTTCCATGTTCTTTGTTTTTATTTTTTTTTGTGTTACAGAAAATCGACCATTGTCAGTAAAACCACTTCTTACCTGGAGAGTAGTACATGATAAAGTCCCCTGGGGCTTGTTTCTTCTTTTCGGAGGTGGATTTGCTCTGGCTCAGGGCTGTAAGGTAATTAAGCCTAGTGGAACAGTTAGCAATTTTCTGTTCAGTTATTTAGACCAAAATGTTAACATAATGTTAATAGAACACTATTACTTCTATATACTTTTTTTTTTTAAATATTTGTTATTTGAAAGTTATTTGTAAATATATATTGATTATTGAATATATACATTGTTCATATAAATATGCAGGCAATTTTGGATGAACCATTATACATTATCTGGCAAGTGCTACTACCATCTCTAACAACATGAACTTTGGTCATAGGTCACATAAGTATATTACATAAGCATTTTGAAGATAATTTACTGTAGAAAATGTCTTAATTAGCAAAAACAGGGCTGTTCAAAACTACATCATAAGTAAGAAAGTAAGAAGAAAAACATAATTATGAAAAATTGCAGGTGCTTCAAAAATAATTTTCATCATCATAATGATTATTAGTTATAAAGATTTTTGACAGGTTTAACTTATATGGCCATAAATAAATGGTTGTTTGGAAATATAACCCAAAGCGTTAAGCATGGGTTATATTTCAAACAATTGTTTTTATACTGCCAGAAATATTTATAATGAATTAACAATACAGCAAGCAATAAATTCTTTTTTTAAGAGAAAAAAGTGAGATTTCTTCATAAATTAACAGCAGCTGTGTATATAAATCTATATAAACATCATGATTAACCAATGAAAAGCGATGTTACAAACATGCATTATTATAAAATTAGATATTAAGATTTTTGACAAGTAATATTGTCATGTATAGATGATTGGTGTTTGCTTATATTACCAATCTAGTAGATGAAGGTCATATAACAAGCAGTCATATATACATGGTCATATAACTCATCATATAACCTGTCAAACGTCTTCATAATCAAGTCACAATTCCTGCACAATTTTTATTTCATGAAAACTGAAAATAATTAATTTTAAACATTACTTTTAAATTTATATACCCGGTCTCTGACATATTTTCTTACCTATTACTGTAATTACAATCAAACCTGTGAATAAAGGCCATCTAAATGAGTGACCAAACATGGCCTTGATAGACAAGTGGTCTTTATTTGGAGTTTACTGTATTGTATTTTCAGTCTAATGAAGGTTTATCAAAAAGTGGTCTTTATTCACAGGATGGTCTGTATTTAGAGATGGATTTTTTCACAGGTATGACTGTAGTAGGAAGTTCTATACAGTGACATAAAAAAGTTTTGTATTTCAGGAATCTGGTTTATCAAAGAGTGGTCTTTATTTACATGATGGTCTTTACTTTGAGGCAGATCTTTAAACAGGTTTCACTGTAGTAAGCAGTTCTATACAATGACATAAAGAAGTTTCTGTATTTCAGGAATCTGGTTTATCAGAATCTATACGAGAGGCCCTGACTGTATTCCAGGATTTACCAGTGTGGGTAACCAGTCTGTTGGTAGCTTTGCTGACATCATTTATCACTGAGGTTGTCACGAACACGGCCACCTGCACTCTCGTCTTACCAATCATTGCTCAGCTGGTAATTTTATTCAACACATTTTAAAAAGTTAAAGTGGCACACTACTGACACACAAAGCAGTGTCTCCAGATTCATGCTAATTTTCAGGAAAATATTGAAAATGCATTTCAAAGTAAAACATTGTCAAATGAATTCAGAAAGTAATTTACACATTGCAAAAATTACACATGTTTGCCCTTCTGATATTTCTGTCCACATGGAGACCTGTTCATTTAAAAACAATAGTATACAAGTCAATAATTGAACACTGACACTTCAGTCTGATTTTGTGAGAACATGACTATACATTTATTTATAGAATTGATAAATCAGCAGTTACATACATAGGAAACATACATTTAAAAATGTATTTCAGATAAAATATGTTTAATGAAATCTGTTTCGTTTTTTCAAGGCTCTTGGCATAGGTGTAAACCCTTTATACTTGATGATACCTACGGCAGTGGCAACCTTGTATGCTTTCATGTTACCAGTAGCAACACCACCCAATGCCATGGTTTATGTTCTTGGATACTTTTCTATGTCAGAAATGGTACAATTTTTACTTTATTTTTATACAACTATATATTTATGATTTAAAAATTAAAAATTTTTCCAGTAAGGCGTTGCATCCATTATTTTCCATATCTCTGGCTAGAAAATTATGAATAAGAAATGGTAAAATTTAGTTAAAATTAGGAATGTGTTACAAGGACACAAATACTCCCTTACTCCACTGTTTTGTTAATTTACTGACTCAAGGTCAAATGAAAAGGACAAATAAATGTTATTAATGAGATTTTTGTTTTGTGAAATACATGTAACATTCTTGAATTGCAAAGAATAAAGATGTGAGAGTCTTTTATTATAATGTTTTCTAAAGGTGGAAAAGCAGTTATACTAAAATTTATATTCTTCCTGATGAAAGTTCGTTACAACTGAAACTGGCAGATTATTTAATTACTGAACCTGCACTGGTGTTGACGTGTTGTATTTCTTCATTTTTATCTTATTAGAATTTATATTGATGTATGTTTCAGATCCGTGCTGGTTGTATAATGAACATTTTATCTGTTCTGATACTAACTCTGGGTGTTAACACATGGGGAGCGGAATATTTCAGCCTGAGAACTTTACCTGTGGAATTCAGTGACCTTGAACTTACAACTGTCATGAGTTTTAACAACTCTGTTACCATGGCAACATGACATAAAATAACATGATTTGGAAATTAAAATATGTTGTTGGATATTTTGTCCATTTATTTAAGAAATGATGAATATTAACTATATGAGCTAGCATTGGATAAATGAAAAACTCACATTATTTCAGATTAATTATTTCATATCTCCTGAATTTTGCATGTATGGACATCTACATGTACTTAAGGTCTTCCTCCACCAGTAAAACAGGAAAGTCGCTATAAAGAATTCACATTTTCAATAGCACCTTACATGCAACAAAAAATGTTGTATACAGAGATACATCCTTGCCTGTATATTTCAAAAACATAAAAATTGTAAGGGGATACAGATAAAGATTAAAATTACAAAATATTGTTTTATTTGTTTTTAATCTGCCGGGATATCACATGGTTGCCTTTGCTCGTAGTAAGCGTTATGTTTATTATCATTCATACAAAGTTAATTATAGAATTGAAAGGAATTGTGGCAAATATAAACTTATTTTGATGTTCACCTGTTCATTCACTATATACCATTTGATGGGAATAATGGCACTTCAGTCATGTCGCAATATATCAGCTGAATGTGAAACAGCTCCTGTGCTTTTACTATGCTATGCTATTTACCACCGACAATCTGTGATTCTCAATTACACCTTGTTTTATGCTTTATGTTGAATTCTGTTTGAGCCAGTGATGGCCTTGGGACTAGCCTGAGATTCAGGCGTTGAAACATTTTTCTTATTCACAACATACATGCTATTTCGTTTTCGTTTGTGTTTTTGATAGTGTCAATTTGGAGAACAGAAGAACATAAATAAATTGACAGACTGGAACCCAGGCTACCTAAATGGGGCAGTAACTTGCATTTACCACTAACACATATTAACAGTTGCATTGAAATTGCGATATTTTTCAATTTTATACAAATGTATGCCTAGAATGGGCAACTTCCTTGGTTCCCAATTGAATTTATACATAGTACATGTACATTATTTTGTTCAGTAGTTCTATCTCAGTTTGAACATTTAGCTTGAATGTTAATGACAAACAAAGTAATAATAGTAATTTAAAGCATCTTTTTTTATTCACTATCATATCTTCATATTGACATACTATGACTGAGACCTTTCTAACAAATAAGTTTAGATATATTTAAAAAAAACATCTACACTACGGTACAACAAAATTTCTAACAATATTGCTATATATGGTACAAAAGAAATCATTAACTGTAAGGATAGAAAGGAATATTGCAGAAAAGAACATATTTTAATAGGACATATCTTTTTGATAATAAAAACTTCAGTATTTATAGTACTTTGATCTCATAATATAAAATAGCAAGTACCACCGCAGAGCCAAGGCCATGCTTGACTTTTTCTTATTTCCAAAGGCAAAAACATTGTAGTAAAGAGTTTTTTTAAAAAAAAAACATAAGTAACTTCATATAACTTGACCTTAATGGTCAAGGTCACTTTTTAAAAATGTCCAGCCCAAATTTGAATTATTCAACATAATGTTTGGCTCAAGTGTTGTTTTGTCTGAATCAAATTCGTCAACAAATATCAAAATTGTAACAATTTTAGCAGAAGTAATTATTTGACTTTGATGGTCAAGGTCATTTTAAGGTCAGTGTCATATTTGAGTTATTTTTCTATTATGTTGGTTTAGTCACAAGTGTTGTTTCATCCAAGTTCAAATGAAATCCCTAAATAAATTCAATTATTTGACCTTAAATGTCAAGGCAAAATAAAGGTCAAGGTTAAGTTACATCAAATCATCTTGAAGGTCTTGTCCTTCCAATCATTGTGTTCAATTATGAAGTCAATCCATAGCAAAAAAAATGTGATATTACAGTAATTTGACCTTTAAGGTCAAGTTCAGTTTTTTGTAAAGGATTGTTTCTAAAGGTTGTTGAGACAATCAATTTATTTATAACAAAGTTATAGCCACTTAAAGGGAAAAAAAACAGCAAATTCTATAACTTGACCTTAAAGGTCATTTCTACATGAAGGTCAAGGTTAGTTGCATTTTCCTAAGTATCAAAAAATCAAACAAAATTTTAAAAATTGACCTTGAATGTCAAGGTCATTTATGAGGGAAGGACAAGTTTAGTCTAGTCAACTTGAAAATCTTGTACAGATCATCAAGTATGGAGGAAATCTGACCCAAATTAAAGATTTTGAACGACAACAGCATAAGCAACGGCAAAGTCAATGACAACATGACTGTAGCAAAGCTCTTTTTTTTGCTTTGAAAAGGTTAAGCTAAAAATTTTATCAAAACTAACAAAATATAAATGCATATGGTACATAGCACTTAAGACATTGAGATTTAAAGAATGACATAAATTACCATTACAATTTCTTAAAATAAGAAAAATCTCTCTAAAACTCCATTAGTTAAGGTATAAGTTTGGTGATCAGAATGGTAAAGTCTGCCATATTTAGCAGAATACATTTAAAGTTTCATCTGATGTGTGAATATTCATTTGTTAAACTACAAACCTTCAAATTATTTGTTTCTGCTTTTCATGGTTAAACAATTTTATAACACTATCCTACTTTTCAACAAATAAACAGTAATTAATATACAAAGTAATCTACATGTATATAATATCTTGTAATATTGAATTAAAATATATTGCATCTCTAATAATCAACCCAACCATATCCAGTATTCCTCTTATTCACAAGTCAATTTTGGATTAACAAATCCCTTTCCTATAAGAGAGAAAATGAGAACGTCAATATTCAAACACTTATTTTATACCAAAAAAAAAATCCCTAGAGATAGCAATTCAGAGGCTCTATTAAATACGTACATATCAATTGAATTGTTAGAAAAAAATCAAGAAGTAATATTTATAACAAAATGACTGCTACTTTCATAAAGTTAATTTGCCACTTGCTTGTAGAAGACCACAAGATAATATTACAAATCTGAACATTATAATTTTCTGAGACAAAATGTTTTTGTCAAAATACCTTGTGGGTGGGGATGGGGGTTTGTTACTGTTAAGGCATGACATATAGCTTTTGAAGTGGTCTACACACTATTTCCAAATCTGAACAAGCTAAGGTCTAGGCATAGTGGTTTCAAAGAAAATTTTTAAACAAGAACTCCGCTGAAGTGGAGAAATATAGACATGTATATGCTGGATGACAAATCTGAAAGATTAGGTATCATGGACAAAAATGTATCTTTAAGATGGGGATTTTGCTATCATCTTTAAGCACTTTGTAGTCATGTGAGTTAAAATCATGTACATGTAGCATAGACAAAATTTTCTGTAAAAATTTTCTGTAAAATTTTGTTCTTCTAAGTTATTCTTAACATTATCATAATTCAACTTCATTATATTTCATCACAATTTCACGGGCAGATTTCTTGGGTCAATTCCTTCTTTTCTCACTTTAAGTGAGAAGTCTAGAGTATCGTAGCCTTGTGTTAACCGACTCAGTGATATTATGTCCACATTCTTATCACAATATTGCGCAATGTTGTCCTCGGTTATTCCACCGCTAACCTCTACTATAAGCTTAGGAAACTTCTCTTTTAACATAGCAGCTGCCTTTGGTATAGCCTTAAAGAAATAACATTAAACATAAATAATTGTTACATAAAGGTTACCCAGATACTTGTAAAATTCACAGAAATAATCATCTAACATTTTATACACAATATCAATTAACTTAAATATCAATGCAGATATAGAAAATATTGAATGATTGTAAGTTCAATACTAAATTTATTGAACGAGTTGAATAAAGTTACATTATGCGAGCCTATGTGAGCATCATATTATTTAATACAAGGAGTTCAATAAATTTAGTAATGAACTTGCATGAATATAATATTCTATTCATCATAATTACCCAAAATAAAACTGTTTAAAGTGAAAAAGAATCATTTTTCATTGACACGCCTATAGTATAATGCTACTATTTATTTGTTTATACACTGTGTTTGCATAACGCAAATAATGTCAAGTCAAAACATATGCACAGACATGCAATACCATTTCTTGCAAAAGTAGCACGGGTATGTGATAAAAATAATTCATTGTTTCAATAAAAGCTGGCCCTGTTGAACGTTTCAAAAGGCCACATGCATTATTTACCTCAGGAGAGAAATTATCGAGCATGATGACATCGCAACCAGCACTGGCAGCCTCCTCCGCATCCTCTATACTGCGGCATTCAACCTCTATCTTTGTTGAAAACCCTCCAACAACGTGGGCATCTTTCACTGCCTGAAAATTTTTAAGAAAGAACTGTGAAAACAAACTGCCAAACAGTGAAAACAAAATGCTAGACATACTACAGTCATGATAAAGATAAATTTAGTGTTATTGTAGAACTTTTACACTATCGAAATTTTTGCACCGGACACATGACATTGATTGTATACAACATGTAAACAATTAAAGCAGCATGCCTCCAGATTCATGCTAATTTTCATGAAAATTTTGAAAATATATTTTAAAAGCAAAATATTTCAAAGTGAACAAAGAAAGTAATTAACACATTTTAAGTACCAATTGCAATGTTTAAATTGCTTTCTTTGTCCACTTCACATGTAAACAATTAAAGCTGCACGCCTTCAGATTCATGGTAATCATTTCACAAGAATTTTGAAAATATATTGAAGAAGTGAAATAACATGTGAATTACCAAAAAGAAGTCAAAATATGCAAAAATAGCCCCTACTGGGTTAGTCACACAAAAGAATTTGGTGATAAATATTGCAAAACAAGTTTTTATTGCACAAAGCATGTAAATTACTGATTGAATCTTTACCAAAACCTTTCTTATTTTTTTCAAGTTTTATTTGCTTGAAATATTTTGGCTCACCAGAGGTGGCAAGCAGCTTTAATAAGAAAGTTTTCAAGTTCAAAGCAACTCAAGTTCTATATCCGTAGCAAAACCACATTTCATTTAATTATACCAATACATGTATTCAAAACAGTATCAATGCATACTTAAAGATGTAAGGCCCATAATACATGTAATAGTAAGTAACAGTTAAAAGTTTCACCATTTGCCTGAAACTGACTCTATGGAATTTATGAAAATCATAGTTGTTAGTAAAATTATGTATAGGCTAAACACATTATTTAATATACATGCCCTTTGTACAGGGATTTAATTAAATTTAAATCATAAGGTGATTCATTTTCCAGGTTTAATGGTGGAGGTAGTTAATTGGGTGTCCCTCTATGAATTTTTTCAGGCTCAAGTAACTGTCTTCCCTTAATTTTAAAGTTTAAACTAGAATTGCTTTCTCAAAATTATAATGATTTTCTTAAATCAATTTTAAGTCTCAAAATTCTTCATTGCATGCTCAATACAAAATTTAATGTCATACTTTTTTTTTCAGCATAAATAAATGAATTACCCTTGATCAGATATAAAATATTTAAGCATAAATTAGACACAAAAAAAACTATCATAAATAACAGATAAATGTAAAAAATTGTAAACCATTTAATCTTAGGACGACTTATCTTTAATATTGGTAATAAGATATGATAAAATATTCTGGATAGCAAATTGACATTATTTCTTAAGAGATTAAAGATTTTCAATTTATTACTACAGATCAATATAAATTTGACCTCCATGAAATGAATGCTAAATATCTGAAATTTCTGTATAGATCAATAAAATGTTTTAAAGGGGACCGTCTCATGATGAGTTAAACAAAAAATTTAAAAATCAAGAATAATTTATAAATAATTTAAAATTTAAGTTTCACTATCAAGGTAAAACTTTAAATGTATGACACAAAATATGAGATAATTTACAAGTTTCATCACTAAGAGTTTTACCTGTTACTAAAATGGTAAAAAAAGAAGCTCCATTGAGGTAAAAAAAAAACAACTAAAAACAAACTTTGAAAATCTTGCATAGATCAAATATTGCACTTAAAATGGAAAAATCTGCAAAAGATGATTAAGAAATATACTCAGGGGTTTTTTTTTGTTTTGCAAGATTATAAGCCCCATTTGAGTAAAAATCTTTGCAACACTTCATTTTTGGTCATTTTGTATGCAATAAAAATAATTATTCTGGGAAAATAGAGTGAGAGAATGATCTAAAATTTTGCACATGAAAAACTTATCAATCCAGACCTACATCAAAATTTTAATGGAACACATTAGTCTTGAAAAAATATTCCCAGGCCCTTCATATTAAAAAAACATCTGGCAGAGTCTATTTAGTTAAACCACCAGTCCTAATCTGTACATTTCGTAACAATTTTAATTCATTAGAATTTTTTTTTTTGTGTAATAAGATTTTTTTTTAAACATATACTATGCTAATATTTTAAACTTAAAAATATTCTTGATTGCTAATCAGTCTCTTTTTAAATATATAATAAACATGTTTTGACTTCACACAAAGACAATTGGTTATGTTTTAAACTCTACACACTATAGGTGGACACACTATAAATATATAGTCATTAATAATCTTTTTTTTTTTAAAGAGAGGACCGTCTTTACTTAACCCATTATAGGAAATGTAACAAGCTTCCCATACAAAGTTTGTATTTCCTTTTATTAAAATTAGATAATATTATACAGTCATGTATTTAGTGAAAATTTCCTAGTTTTCAATATTTTTCTATGATAAAAAGTATTTTACTCAAAGATGAGCATATGTATACCTTTAAGTTTTAAAAAAAAAGAAGAAAAAATAACACAGATTTTGAGGTATGCTCCTTTAATATATAACAAAATGTAAGAAACTTTCTGATCTAGTTAATGTGAGCTTTAGAAATAAGATTTATAAGCTCTTTTTGTTAAATAGCTGAATAAGATACATCATTTTACTTAGAGAAAAATGTTTATATACTTTTGAATATATTAAAATATCTATCATTAAAAGTATTTATATCATTTGAATAACATACTGACTTGCATTTTAATACACACTTCTAAACCTGCTACTAACTTAATGAATATTTCTCTTTCTTAAAATTTTGTATGCCTTTTTCCAGATGATTTTTATAACAAGACATTAAAATTATAAAAATAGCTAACTTGTCCCCAACCAATTGCCAATTCTCTAACAAACTGTCAACTTCACATTGAAGACCTAACAACTTCCCCTCAACAAATTGCCAACTTCCTGTCCCAACAAATTGCCAACTTGTCCCCTGGCAAATTGCCACCTTCTCCTCTAATAAATTGCCAATTTCTCCTCCCCCAAAAGCTTGCCCACTCAACCAATTGCTTAATAATAATCACCCAACAAATTGCCAACTTCTCCCCAAACAAATTGCCATCTCCTTCCAACAAATTATCAACTTCTCCCCCCCCCCTCCTCCCCAACATTGAACTTTTCCACTAAACTGCCAACTTCTCCTAACAAATTGCCAACTCCTCCCACAAATTGCCAACTTCTGCATGGCAAATTGCAAACTTATCTGTGGCAAATTGCAAACTTTTCCCTAACAAATTGCCAACTTCTTCCTCATTAAGTTTCCATCTTGTCCCCTGACAAATTTTTGTTTTCTGTCAACAAATTGCTAACTTCACACAACAAATTGCCAACTTCATCTGCGTAAACTGCCAACTTCTCAAAACAAATTACCAAGGGGACAAATTGCAAACTTCTCCCCAAAGAATTTGGCAACTTCTTCATTGCAAACTGCCTACTTTCCCCCAATAAATTGCCAATTCCTTCCACAAATTTCCAACTTCTACATGGCAACTTGTCAACTTCTCCTAAAACAAGTTGCCAACTGCTATAAACAAACTGCCCCCCCCCCTCCAACAAATTGCCAACCTCTTCATGGCAAATTGCCACCTATAATTCTCAGTTACAAATTGCTAACTTAAATATCTCCATAAAAAAAACAAAATGATACATTTGTAGCACTAGTACATGTAGAAACCTCATTGCATAATAATCTACCTTAAATTAAATAATGCATGAAACCATGCTTTTGATTCTTGAAAAAAGACACTTTTTTCGCTATTTTGATTTCTTTCTGTCTCAGTTCAATGTCATATATTTTTAGATCTAGAACTTTTCAAAATTAAAACGCACATATTTAATGATATTAAAAAAAGGTACAGTCCAACCTTTACAAAGCAACACTCTTTGGGAGACATTGCTTTTGGGTTTTGTTGAGAGGTTTTGCTACATGGAAGTTGAATATATTGTGACTTCTTAATAGTTTTTTAGAGGTTATTGCTATACAGGGGTCACTCTTTAGAGGTTTCACTGTACACAAAATGTAACAATACATGGTAGTAAAAAACTGTTAATTTTGCTTGAACATCAATCTAAAATCTGAATATCACAAAATAATGAAATACAACATACTAAATTTGAAGTGACCTATAATCATGATGATAGTAACAAATACTTCTTTATCTGATCTGATCATTTATTTATATCAATTTTTGCAAACTTAGGTGTAACCCATTGCTTAAACACCCTCACATGGTATAATGGCATGATAAAATTCAATGACACATAATACATTTGTAGATTTACTAGTTTATATTAGATCTCAAGATATGTGGATTCTGTAAATGCAAAGATAAATGTGGCCATTTTCTTTTCAAGAAATCAAATTTAACCTACCATGTATTATGTTTATTTAAAATAGTCTGTTGGACCCAATGAGATCATTTTTTAAAGAAGAAATTTTGCAGATACTTAAAAATTTACACTGATATCTTAAAAGATACACAAGTGTTAGCTTTCTTAAGACATCTATCAATTACTGTGACATTTGGACATAAAATTTTAAAGAAATGGCGTTGACTTAATGACAGGGTCAAATTTAGTACACTCTACTTGATATTCTCGGACAATCAATGTAGATTATGACTGGTTTTAAAATATTATAAAACATAGGTCCATTAGTTAAAAGATACAAGAGTGATCAGTAATCACATGTGTCGCCTCATAATGGCCAATTTCATGTTGGGACAAATTTTGTGACAGACGGACAGACAGACGGACAGTGCACAACTAGACTTGGTACTGATCAATCATGTAAAGTTTGGATAAAATTGCACCAGTAGCATATGAGGAGTAGTCCGGACAAGCTTTTGCGTATCTGGCAACACACAGAAAAAAACACCTTTTTATAAAAGGGCCATAACTCAGCCAAAAATCATTCAACCGGAAAACCCGTGCAATATGCGCAAGGACTTGAGCTACAGATCAATCCTGTAAAGTTTCATTGAAATTGCATTAGTGGTATAAGAGAAGTAGTCCGGACAAACTTTAAAATTAAAAATTATTAAAGGGCCATAACTCTGACAAAAATCATTGAACCGGAAAATGCTGACAATATGCACAACTAGACTTGATACTGATCATTCCTGTAAAGTTTGGATGAAATTGCACCAGTAGTTTATGAGGGGTAGTCCGGACAAGTTTTGTGACGGACGGACAGACAGACAGACAGACAGACGGACAGATTCTAGTGCAGTTACATGTATTTATATTAAAAAATCATAGTACAGCGCAACCTTTCTGAGAAAATATTAAGGATGCGACTAAATAGGATATGACCTGGGAGGCTATTCCAGTAGCAGATAGCTCTAGGAAAGAAAGAATTTGAAGATAATATTATTGGGTACGAGACTGGGGTATGAGAAAATTTAAATTTCTAGTGGGAATTAATTCATATGCCCGATGATACATATGAGCCGCGCCATGACAAAACCAACACAATGCATTAGCAACCAGCATGGATCCAGACCAGCCTGCGCATACAGGCAGTCTGATCAGGATCCATGATGTTTGCTATCAGTTTCTTTACTTGTAATATGGTTTGTAAGCAAACAGCATGGATCCTGATAAGACTGCGTGGATGCACTGACTGGTCTGGATCCATGCTGGTCGCAAACGCACTATGTCAGTTTTGCCATGGCGTGGCTCATACACTTAGAATGTATCTATTACCTGTGTTATACTTCCTGCTGTCCATATATGATTGTCTTTTAACATAATCATTGATGACAGGTCATATCTATGTGTCGATACACCACCCACTAAAAGTGCATACTTTTCTACAAGTCTAAATCCTGGAGTAGTCTTACGAGTTCCTGCAACTTGACCAGTCCAGCCTAACTTCTGAACCATTTTACGTAGCCTGTGTGCAGCTGAGGCTATACCACTGGCTCTAGTTATAATATTCAAAGCCACTCTTTCCCCTAACAAAATCTGACGAACTTTTCCTGAAACTGTTGCTACAGTTTTGATTGGCTCATTGAAAGATCCTTCAAGTACATTTTCCCACATAACAGTACAATCAAGTTCTTTAAATATAGCGTCAAAAAATGGTCTGCCAGCTAGTACTCCAGCACTCTTCATCAATAAAACAGCCGTTTCTTCCTTTTCACCAACAACAAATCCACCATAGTCAAAATTTGGAGTGTCTTCTTTTAACCATTCTCTGGCTAAATGACGAATTGTCAGCGGGTGTAACACATGACTTATGTTTGGATTATGAATGCCATTTAATACTAAATCATCTTTATTAGATGTCATCCTTGCTAATCGCAAATTCAAACGGTATTCTATCCGCCACTCAAACTGTCAATCATTTTCGTTCCACTTATTAACCTTTTAAGTTTAACGATTTTTTGTGAACGAAATACTTAGTGCAGTTTGTTATGGTGTAAATGATTATCTCCCTTTATAACCTTTGTTTTTAAAAAAAGCCATTCAATGGAAGAAATAGTAAAATTTATTTTTGGAGCTTTAAAAGGGGCTAGCTCCTGGAATTACCTTTCTATTTATATTCATTTTGGCAAGCTTGTTGGCAATGCCATATAAATGTATACTATATTGCAATTTGGCTCAGTCGATAATAATTAGGTCGCACTCTTTGTGAACAGTTTATTTAAACAATTTATTTAAATCTGTTATCCTATAAATAAAAATTAGTACTGCACTGCTCGTATTTATGAACCTAGTGTAGAATATGATTGTGTACAGTATAAAATACAATACCTAGGTAAACATCACCATGCATGTGATAAAGTCACAACACAGTGTGGGACCGGTTAATCTGTGTGCAATTATTTCACGTGTATCATTAAATAATTATGTGATCAGGCGCGCGCGTTGGCATGACACGCATTTGTAAATGCACGTGCGCGCACTTGATTGGAAAAGTAGATAAATAGGAAACGCCTTTACACGCAATAAAACACATTATCCTCACTGTTGTTTGGCATAAAACTATCACAATACCTAGATACAAAGCAATACTTTATACACGGATAACTGCGATAAAAGCATTAGAAAGTTGGGGATTCATTTTCAACCTCAGATTTCAAAATTTTCTCGGTATATACATATATTAAGGGATACCTTTCTCGGATATGCATAGAACTATAGATCTATATCGCTGGGTTTGGACAGCTAGGGTATTTGAAAAAAAACTACGCCCCCAAATAAACTTCTTGTGGAGACACCTTAAATTATGTTGTTATATATTTTTGTCCTTCGGGACCATTGATTTAATATTCTTTTATCCTCTTTTAAACAACTCTTTTTAACTTTCTTGCGATATTTGATGCGCAGACATATCTACGTCCCCGCGAGGGGTTTGACATTAACGGAAGATAGATAGATTCCAACACTGTACGAACCACTCAAGCAGCAGAGGTATGTTGCACTTTTTCATTATCATGATTATCCTCTATATATATACAAACTCAATCAAACCGAATCTTCAAATTTCATGTTATTGTGTTGCTATTATTGCTTCGGAGGGACCATCTTTTTGAATCAAGATGTTTAGTCACTTGGTCATTGGTCCCGTTTGTGACTTGTATATACAATTCAATTTTATACACCTGTTCGTTCATTCTTCAAATGCATGCCATGGATCAAGATACATTGTTTTATTACATACCCGTGCCGACTTTGTGACTCCGTAAAAGGCCGTGCATATATTTTGACGTGACGTCATTTGCGTTAAAAATATTTAGATGATATTTGTTTGTTTCAGTGTAAGATCGAAAAATATTTCACCGAGTGAACACCAGATGCAATATTTTCCACGAGTGGCGTAGCCACGAGTGAAAATATAATAGCTGGGGTTCACGAGTGAAATATTTTTCGATCTTACATGTAAAACAAACAAATTTTCTGTTTATTTCATGATTTTTTAACGATTTTTACACCATTTTACTGATTTTTGCCGCGAAACTTCATGCTCTTATCTTCATGACGCCATCAAATAATGACGTCACAATGTTGAAGCAAAATATAATTCCATGATTATTTTTTGATTTTAGATGTTTTTCAGCACAACGTTCGTAAATATTTACGAACTACAGTTATCACGTACATTTTTTATTATGTTTGACTACATTTCCGCTGGAAAAAAAAACATTCATTAATGATAATTATTTTATTTTTACGCTAAATATAGTTCGGCTACTGTGAAAGTATATTTGGTAATCATTACTGTGAAATTATCAGAATATAATTAACCGTTATAATTCAGTAATCTACTGCAAAATATGTAATAAACATGTACAAACCTGGGATATCGTATGTCCCAGTACAAACAAAATGAAAATGCGCGCGTAAATGAAAAAAATACTTTTTTTTCACTTTAAACGGTCTTTATTTTGGTATGTGATAAATAAAATATTAAATTCGTGTTTAAGTTCATTACTGAATTTATTGAAGTCGTTGAATAAAATAATATTATATATGCTCGCCAGAGGCTCATACACTCATTCAATACTTTGGGTTTCATCAGTCTTTTACAATATTTCTAGAGGAAATAATTCATTTCATTTTTAATAATTAATTTCTTATTTAATTTATTATTAATTAATAATTAATTTTATTATATTTAATTAGTTTCAATATTATTTTGAAAATTATATTTATAAATATTTTATTATATAATATTGATAAATACTGCACATTAAAATATAATCTTGTACGGGTGAAAATCTGTTAGGCCTACTGTATAAGAATTTTAAACGTTATCATTCATTTGTCATTTTAAAAAAAAGTTTATAGGGTCTATTGAACAATAATATTTAGTGGTCGCGTACCTGTCAAATTTTTGACAGATTTGTCGGTAAATAGGAAGGAAGTTACAGGACATTTTTGAGGAACTTGCTGTTTTATTCGAGAGAAATTTTATTTTCACGTATCACACTTCAAGGCAAAATTCATTTTGAAAGGTATACTTTGATATCGATTATGTTAATGATATGCATAAATTTATCAAATATGTCATAGAATCCGGACACACCAATCTGGATAAAATTGTACAAATATATCTAACCGTTGAATAATGGACAAGTAAGTTGATGTCACATGTCATGAAAATGAAAACATGGAATTATAATTTTAATTGACTTTAGTAGGCCTAATAAATAACATGTCAATTTTTTGAAAATATATATTAAAGAAGTTGTGGAATAGTGTGCAATTATTCGATTTATAATTTGCAATAACGCAAATAGGGCATGAACAATAAGGGGGGAGATATATTAGGGGAGGAAATGATAAGGCCCAGGGAGAATATTCTGATTCCCCTTTTAGATACAGAACTTCCATACAAACTCAAAATGTTACAGTGGCTATCTGTAGGAACCTTTTACAAGCCAAATTGTTAGCCAAAATACTAAACACAAATGCTTGTTTTGTTTTTTGTTGGGCAAGTAAAAAGATATTTTTTATTTTGATATGATTTTGAGTTGTCTGCTCATGAAAAGGATAAAAAATAACCAAATATTTTACCTTCAGGGCAGATAACTAGATCTACAAACAGGCTGGTGAGATCTATTTTTTTATCAGTGTGTTTCAGTTACCATTGTCTGTAGTTATGCAAAGTTTAAGAAAATTCTCTGCAATAGTTTATGTAATCATACTTTGTCTTTGAAAATATATAATATTTAAAACTACACTATCCCAGGAAACTGTTCAAATGTCTTTAATGGCAAATAAGCTATTACTTTTAAGTTTTTCATATTCATCAGACAGCAAGTATTATAAATGAATGACATGCCAGCATACATTTTTTCAGATAAGAACAAACAAAATATTGTGACTATTAACATTTGTTCTTGATTTCAGGACTGTAAATTGGTATGACAAGTCATGTTGGGGACATATTTTAAATTTATACCAAACTGATTCTCATACATGTGACATCCCGGTGGGATTTAAAAAAATCCCGATATTTCAACACTGATCCCGATTCCCGATATTACAACTTGAATTCCCGATATTTAAAAAAAAATCAACATAAAAAAAATCAAACACAGCACCTGTATCTAAAATGTAAACCGTGCCTCCGGGCATTGATTGTTATCTGTCCATATCCTAAATTATAGCGGATTAAATGTTGAGTCCCTAATTGACAGCAAGGTGACGTAATAAACAGTTCCAATACCCAAAGTTATTCTCACGTGCTTAACTTATCACGTGTCGTGTGTCAGTCAATTGACCTCTTTTTAGGTATTACACGCTACGTCATCAACACTACACTACCCTGTAAATTTACGTGTATGAATTCGGCTCAACCTTTGATTTTCTTTGATTAGTGCCGCACTGATAAAGATAAAAGGTGAGCAGAATTATTTAAAGGGGATCATTCAAAACCTGTTTAAGATGTCTAATTAACCTATTTTTAGTGAGTGGGTAATTTTTTGTTTTGTTTAGGAATTACACAATCATCGAGGCAAAAATGTGGATTTAATTAACGGAATGATTCTTGCATTTATTTTGAGTCTTCTACTTATGTTACGTTATTTAACTGTCATAGTCTTATGTTCATGAATAGTTGTTGCACATTTTCAAATAGCTTGTGTTTAATTATTGAAAGACTGAAAAGAAATATAATTCTTCAAACTGAAAATAATGAAATGTGAAAGTGTCACTGTTTTAGAAAGAGCCTGTATGACTACACTTATTTATTTATCTATTTATTTATTTTTTTGGTGAAATAAATTAATATTGATCAACAAAAAAAATCATAAAAAGTATAATCATTAAAGGATATTGAGGGTAATATAGATTCTTTGAACCAAATGTGCCAAACACGCATTGAAATTCAAGTCGATAAAAAAATCCAGTTTTGAGCCTCAAAATCCAGCTGAAAATCCAGATTTGGCCCATTTCATTTGTCACATGTATGGATTCTTGTTCATATACTTTCTTATTTTTATGCCCCCACAATGTGGGAGCATATAGCGTTGCAATTGTCCGTCCGTCCATCCATACATCCCGAAATCTTGTGAACGCAACTCCTCTTAAACCGGATGGCAGATTTTGCTTAAACTTACAGGGATGGACAACCTTAATGTGTAAATGGCAGTAAAGGAAGGAATTTTCGCTGTGACCAAATTTAACAGAATTATGGCCCTTTGTTGATTTTTTCACTAGATACTATGTAGAAATTTTGTGAACGCAACTCCTCTTAAACCGGATGGCAGATTTTGCTTAAACTTACAGGGATGAACAACCTTAATGTGTAGATGGCAGTATAGGAAGAAATTTTTGCTGCGGCCAAATTTAACAGAATTATGGCCCTTTGTTGATTTTTTCACTAGATACTATGTAGAAATTTTGTGAACGCAACTCCTCTTAAACCGGATGGCAGATTTTGTTTAAACTTACAGGGATGAACAACCTTAATGTGTAGATGTAGTAAAGGAAGGAATTTTTCGCTGCGACCAAATTTAACAGAATTATGGCCCTTTGTTGATTTTTTCATGATATACATTATATCCAGTGCATTAACCCTTTCCCCCATGAGCATATTGTGAAAAATGGCCATTTTCACTGAAAAGCCTCCTGTTACAAGTTCAAACTGCTATGAAACTATGAAAAATGCTTCAATACTAATCAAACTTGGCACAAATGTTGACTGGACCATTGCCTTTGTAACGTTATGCTCAGTCTTAAATTTCCTGTTACCATGGCAACGAGGGGACATCTCAAAATTGCCAAAAATCACTTTTTTGCCTCGATTTGTTCCATCAAAATTTATTTCAAAGTGCTGCAACTTCTCAAGGGATTGAGATAGAGTCAAAGGCTTTTCAGCGTTGGTTACACGTTACCTTATGATCGACCTGGGGTCATTTTTAAGCCTCTCACTAGTCCAAAATTTTCTTGGCGATGAGGGGGACTCCGCCCCCTTCAAACCCCCAAACAGAAGGGGGCACATCCCCCTTCTGGCAACCCCCTGATGTAATATTTGGATGGGGGACGGCGCCGAAAAAATTGTCACTTTTTTTAACAACATTTCTCAAACAAAAGACAGTGTTTGGGGCCTAAATAGGGCATTTTTTCACTGTTTGAGGCCTCAAAAAGGGGGGGGGGGCAAAAAGCCGTCGAAACACGCTTATATAAGGGAAAAGGTTAACAAAAAATGATGAAAAACCTTGGAATCACCCAAAATCTAGTTTTTCCATGTTAACATGTGGTCTTTTACCTAATTTTGGTGAAAAATTGTTGTTTTGTAACATTTATAATTTTTTTAGTTAACCCTTTCCCCCATGAGCATATTGTGAAAAATGGCCATTTTCACTGAAAAGCCTCCTGTTACAAGTTCAAACTGCTATGAAACTATGAAAAATGCTTCAATACTAATCAAACTTGGCACAAATGTTGACTGGACCATTGCCTTTGTAACGTTATGCTCAGTCTTAAATTTCCTGTTACCATGGCAACGAGGGGACATCTCAAAATTGCCAAAATCACTTTTTTGCCTCGATTTGTTCCATCAAAATTTATTTCAAAGTGCTGCAACTTCTCAAGGGATTGAGATAGAGTCAAAGGCTTTTCAGCGTTGGTTACACGTTACCTTATGATCGACCTGGGGTCATTTTAAGCCTCTCACTAGTCCAAAATTTTTCTTGGCGATGAGGGGGACTCCGCCCCCTTCAAACCCCCAAACAGAAGGGGGCACATCCCCTTCTGGCAACCCCCTGATGTAATATTTGGATGGGGGACGGCGCCGAAAAAATTGTCACTTTTTTTAACAACATTTCTCAAACAAAAGACAGTGTTTGGGGCCTAAATAGGGCATTTTTTCACTGTTTGAGGCCTCAAAAAGGGGGGGGGGGCAAAAAGCCGTCGAAACACGCTTATATAAGGGAAAAGGTTAACAAAAAATGACGAAAAACCTTGGAATCACCCAAAATCTTGTTTTTCCATGTTAACATATGGTCTTTTACCTAATTTTGGTAAAAAATGGTTGTTTTGTAACATTTATATTTTTTCAGTTAACCCTTTCCCCCATGAGCATATTGTGAAAAATGGCCATTTTCACTGAAAAGCCTCCTGTTACAAGTTCAAACTGCTATGAAACTATGAAAAATGCTTCAATACTAATCAAACTTGGCACAAATGTTGACTGGACCATTGCCTTTGTAACGTTATGCTCAGTCTTAAATTTCCTGTTACCATGGCAACGAGGGGACATCTCAAAATTGCCAAAAATCACTTTTTTGCCTCGATTTGTTCCATCAAAATTTATTTCAAAGTGCTGCAACTTCTCAAGGGATTGAGATAGAGTCAAAGGCTTTTCAGCGTTGGTTACACGTTACCTTATGATCGACCTGGGGTCATTTTAAGCCTCTCACTAGTCCAAAATTTTCTTGGCGATGAGGGGGACTCCGCCCCCCTTCAAACCCCCCAAACAGAAGGGGGCACATCCCCCTTCTGGCAACCCCCTGATGTAATATTTGGATGGGGGACGGCGCCGAAAAAATTGTCACTTTTTTTAACAACATTTCTCAAACAAAAGACAGTGTTTGGGGCCTAAATAGGGCATTTTTTCACTGTTTGAGGCCTCAAAAAGGGGGGGGGGGCAAAAAGCCGTCGAAACACGCTTATATAAGGGAAAAGGTTAACTGGAGTGCAGGTATTAGTTATCAGCACTCCAGAGCATGCCCATTGATTGGCTTTTTTTTGCTGGGGTTTAACTTATTGTGAGGGCAGAAAAAGGGAAAGCGATTGAAATATTATATTCAGATGCTTGTTCATTGGTTACTTTTTTTCTGGGGATTCATATTGTGACAACAGGGAACGTGTTTTATTGTTTGACTATGATATAACAAAAAAAGAACATTAAAACACTCGGCAATCTGATTTATACTCTTTGGCTACGCCCTCTCGTACAAATCAGATAGCCTCTTGTTTCCATGCTCTTTCTGTTACTTAATTCCCTTTTAGCATAATTGATTTTTAGAGTTCTTGCAGTGTCTAATTATACAATTACTTAATTTTTGTTAAAATAATCAGACAAGCCACACAAACACGAACATTTATTAATTTGATTTAATTGCAAACGTTTCGGCTATATGCCTTCATCAGTGCAAAACATAATAAAATTACCTGAAGCGACGTCATAACGGAACACGCGTTAAACGCGCGAAAAACGTTATGGCGTTTAGTGGCAAAACTATGATAACATGTAGAAACAAATATTTATGCTATAAATAAAGCTGGTACATGAATTAAAATGGATCAACAGTGATACAGATGTCTATTAGACAGTGTTAAAAAAAAAAAAAAAATTAATTTTTGTTAGGAACATAACTGGAAAAAGTATTATTTGAAGTCTTGAGAATATCTTTAAATCTGTGTAATGTATCAACATGAATCTTTATTGTATATCCTGTTGACAAAGCAGTAGGCCTACATTGTATGCACCAGGACCAGTTCTAGTTAATACCTTTTAGTTAACACATGCCTTTTGAAATGGATTTCTTTTTCATTGCAACCTTAAAAATATTGAAAAGATTTGAATGAAGCTCCACTGACGTTCAAGTACTAAAAACATAAATTTTGAAATTATTGCATAGAATAGATTAACTAGGGTACATAAAAATACGTAAATAGTATTAAAGTGATATACTCAAATTTAGATTTAAAATCATTTTGTTTTGTGCAACTGACTGAGTGAAAAGCAATAAAATCATCTAATCATTTTCAGATTGTTAAGCAAAATTTAAAGTGTTATTCTGACATGCTAAGTATTTAATAACTTGAAATTTTACACTCGACTCATTGGTTGAGACCTACATTATAACATTTTGACATTTGGTACACAAATTAAAAAAAACAACTTAGTTCCTTTAAAAACTTATAAAAAATATTTTGATTTCATATGATAGATTAATTTGTCCATAATGGTATTTTTCATAATAGTCATAATATGCTATAAAATAGAGCTATTTGCTGTGGTTTTGGGTAATCTTGACAACTGTTGGGAATTTAAAATGTCATTGTAGGATTATTCAAAAATTTGTTGATTGGGAAAAAAGCCTTTGTCAAACAAAAACAAAAGAAATCTCTGTTGACATGTTAGAGTTTTTTCACCTTACCAGTATATAAATGACACTAATAAAAGGTTTCTTGCCCAGTAGGAATTTTCTTTGAAATCATGAAGTTTTTCCAAAAATTCAACTAATGTCAGTTTTGTACATGTACTATAACTTAAAGCCAGCAATTCTGGTGATAATTTTTTCCAAAATCAAATGGCTAAGGCCTTTTCCCATTTATGATTGAAGAGAAAAACACCACTTTCATGCTGTGAACAAATTGTTTCAGTAAAAAGTATATTATGTATAAAGATATAGCTTACTGTAAAAAGTTTATATGATGAGAAAATGATAAAGTTTGTGGCTTGAGGCGACCTTTTATTTGTATGTATTGATTTTGATAGTCATTTCTGGTTGATTGTTTGTGATAGAATAGCTAACTATTGTACAAGAGAATAGGTAACATCATTGTAAGAATAGCAAGGGAGGAATGACCTGGTGATTAAAGTGTTTTGCGGGTCATGGATTTTACAAAGGCATGTGTTAAGTTTTGTTTTAGAACAGTGAACATTAAGTTTACTGTTATGTTAGAAATTGAATAGCTATTTGTTGTATTAGAATAGCTGACTGTTGTGTTAGACTAGATTATCGTTTTTAAAAAAGTTCTACCACAGGTAGCTTTAAATATTACTTGTCCCAATTTATTCATCTCAGTGTTCTGTTACCCTGATTATTGATTCCAATAACTGACACAGTAGATTATAACAATCTGGTCTGGTTTGTATGCAAGCTAGGAAATGCCTAATTCTTCTTAGTTAATAATTTACTGCACTAATATGACACCCAACTTTCAGACCTCTAAATACACTTTTTCTATGCAGTTGCTTCAGATCCGTAACCTATAGCATACTGTACTACAGTTGTAATGATGGATTTAAAGCATTATATGCTGATCACTTTGAGAAAATAGCGCTGATTTTGATATTTAAAAATTAAAAATATTTAAGGTTTTTCGGAGCTAATCTGGGGGTACAAACAAACTTCAATGATTACAGCTCCAAAAATTAGCGCTGTAGGTTGACAAATCTATTGTGACCAATAGTGCACCATGAGCTCTAACTGTAAAAAATTTGTTTGTTCCAGGGAATAAGCTTGAAAAAACCCACATTTGCTGAATTCCGGATAACATCTATTGTGAAAATATAGAATAAACGGCTGGGTTAAGTCACTTAAATTATTCAACTTGAAAGCTAAATACCGGAAGCCCTAGGGATTGAGAAAATTGCAGAATGAATAAGAATTTAAATGAAATGTCTGATGCAGAGTTACTGTTAATGGTAAAAAACCTTAGAATTTCTGTCTTTTCTTTTACAGGAATACCGGATCTTACTGGATGAGTGACAGAGATATGTCTATAACACGTTGTATTAGACGGAGGTTTCTTTCATAGCGAAGTGTAATTCAGCATTCAATATATGACCAGAGAACTGCAGTCATCATGTACATGTATTGGAAAAACTATGGGGCCAATTCGTGCTAGCAATGAACTTTTCGATGGGTTATTAGAGATGTTTGATTGATAATATTGGTTTAATAGTAGGACATATTTCACATAACAGACATAACAAGTTGCTTGATAATTGATTCTAATCAGGGTATTGTACTGCTTTTTTAAAAGCAATCGTTTGTTTAACATACAAATGAAGGCACATATGGTGGAAGATTTCAGAGGAGATTTTGTTTTACTGCGGAAAGTACCATTTTGCTTGAATTAATGTCAATATTAAGTTGAGGTAAATAGGGTAAATAGTGGACAGGATTTGAAGATGTTTTCTCGGATTGCAAAGTTTCGTAAATCTGAGAGTTACGAGGATTTGGACAGGGTTGAGATGGACATAACGGAACCAACCATGAGACAGTATGCCGGTATCGGGGAGTCAAACCCAGAACCAGCCGTGTCAGCACCTCAAGCAGAGCCTGCCGAAGGTAAATATTTTATAGTATCTTTATTTTTTTCCACATGCAAACAGTGTTCATGAGTTAGAGAAAGTCATGGTAACATGTTTTTCTAAATATGAAATAATATAATATATATTTAATCTATACACTTATCAGTTTGTCAAAAACAATATATAAATAAGGTATCTTAGTTAACTCAATAGGGAGAGCATTGAATTTGTAAAAAGGGTGGGTGGCTGGAGCAAGGGCATGCCAAATTTCTCAGACATTGACACTAATGGTTAATTGCTTTTTGCCGCCGATTTCAAAAATCATGATGGATTAGTAAAATAGTCATTCTGACACATTCACCTGAAGAAAATTTGTTGATTACTGGTTAGTTATCCAGGAAAGCTGATTATAGGTGGACCAATTAACTGCAGAGGTAATTATGACATAAAATGTGTTGAAATTGGTACAAATACCAGAAAAACAAACATCAAGAGACAATTGATGAAATACATTGCATATGTTATGATATTTGTACCTACTACCATAGTTTTTCTCACCTGTTTGAGAATACATGTAGCTCTGGGTTGAACTAAATGGTATTTTTAAGTGGTAAAATTAAGGTAATTTAAAATTTTTAAAAATCAAGTGAGGTTGTGATTGGTAAATGAATATATGTATCAGATTAGTTATCAACTGATTACGACTGACTCAAACTACCAGATCATAGAGTTATGCACCATGGTGAAAAATTCTGCTGGTAATTTCCTTCCTAATGCCGGGCACCCTTCCCCAGGGGTTGGGTAACTTGGGTCACAATTGTTGGTGCTGTGTTATAACAATTATTCCAGTGGTTTATATTGACTAATATATTTGTCACATGTACATGTACACAGGAAATGAAACCTATGTGTTATTTCCCATCTAAATTCCTTATCTTTTGCAACCGATCAGTTTCTTTCCTATGAATATCAATTATATCTGATAGTATTGTTTACTCTTACACCAATCATGATTATTGATCCCAGTTATATACATAAGGGACATTCATAGTCTGTAGGCATGGTAAGTTAATAAAAGTTAACATGAACTATTTAACCCTTTACCCCATATATACGCGAAACAACGCACATTCGACCCCCCCCCCCTTTTTAGGCCTCAAAGAGTGAAAAAATGTCCTATTTGGGCCCCAAACACATGTTTTCGTTTGAGAAATGTTGCTAAAAAAATTGAGCACTTTTTCGGCGCCGCCCCCCATCCAAAAGATACATCAGGGGGTTGCCAGAAGGGGGATGTGCCCCCTTCTGTTAGGGGGGTTTGAAGGGGGGGCGGAGTCCCCCTCATCGCCAAGAAAATTTTGGACTTGTGAGAGGCTAAAAATGACCCCAGGTCGATCATAATGTAACGTGTAACCAACGCTGAAAAGCCTTTGACTCTATCTCAATCCCTTGAGAAGTTGCAGCACTTTGAAATCAATTTTGATTGAAAAAATCGAGGCAAAATAGTGATTTTGGGCAATTTTGAGATGCCCCCTCGTTGCCATGGTAACAGGAAATTTAAGACTGAGCATGTCGTTACAAAGGCAATGGTCCAGTCAACATTTGTGCCAAGTTTGATTAGTATTGAAGCATTTTTCATAGTTTCATAGCAGTTTGAACTTGTAACAGGAGGCTTTTCAGTGAAAACGGCCATTTTCCACAATATGCTCATGGGGGAAAGGGTTAAAGTCCACCTCTGAATAAATATAACTCTGCAGATAAAGTCTTCTTTTTGATAACCCTTAATTAGTAATCTCCAAATAAAGACCTTGCTGTCTATAAAAGCAGTGACTTGCCTCTCCCTTGTGTGGCCTTTGATCACAGGTTTGACTATATATACACAATATGTAAACATGCTATAAAAAAAAAAGAAGATCAGTAAAATATGATAACCTTTATTAACCTCATTATATAATAGGTAGTCTTTTTAAAAAAGATGTTGCCTTAATTTTAGTCTAGCTTACTGAATGTCTGGTGGTTCCACTACCAGTAATCTGTGAAAGTCGCCATATGACCTGTGCTGCCATGACCAATACTGTATAAAATGAGACCAAACTACTTTAAATCAGTAACACCTGAGCAAAATGTGTCCATTCAAGAAAATCAAACTGCTTTCATCTGGTGTGACCAAATTTCTTCCTTCCAATATTCACAAATTCTTTCTATATAATGTAACAAAATTACTCCACCATTAAAATCTGCACAAAACTACTTTCTTCCAGTCTAACCAAACTACTTTGACTGAGTCTGACCAAAGTGTCTAAACATGCAATCTTACCAAAATACTTCTATTAAGCAGTCAAACCAAAGTGCTTCAGTGCAGTGTGACCAATATCAAATTCAGTTCTAATTAAGTATTTTGATTCTCGGAAATGTTAAATTTGCTGATGGCAACTAATTCTACCCATGTGATCAGTGCAGACGGACCCGAGTAGGCACATCTGTAATGTGGTGTCAATTTGTAGTCTGCACTGTTCACTTTTCAGTGACTTTTTCTGTCAGTACATTTTTGAAAATTTCCCGAAAATCAAGAATGGTATAACGTTTGTTCCATATTGAAAGATGGATTAGAACATTTAAGATATTTTGCATGGTAATGGCTACGTCAGTTAGTGATACAGAGAAAATTCCTTAAAAATCATACATGAATGGTTTTGCCCATATTGAAAGATAGATGAGTACATTTAAGTTATTTTAGCATGTTAATGGCTAAGTGATACAGAGATTAAAGGTTTAATTTAAACTGTTGTTTATCGCTTCATTACATTGTATTTTCAGCTGGTAAAATCAATGTTTTGATTTCTCTCAATTTCACAAACATGTACGATGTTGTACAATCATACAATGTACATGTTATACGTAATTTCTATAATCTGTTGAATGGTTTTTATAATAAACAAGAGCGATCAGTAATCACATGTGTCGCCTCATGATGGCCAATTTCATGTTTGGACAAATTTTGTGACAGACGGACAGACAGACGGACAGTGCACAACTAGACTTGGTACTGATCATTCCTGTAAAGTTTGGATAAAATTGCACCAGTAGTTTATGAGGAGTAGTCCGGACAAACTTTTGTGTATCTGGCAACACACAGAAAAAAACACATTTTTATCAAAGGGCCATAACTCGGCCAAAAATCATTCAACCGGAAAACCCGTGCAATATGCGCAAGGACTTGAGCTACAGATCAATCCTGTAAAGTTTCATTGAAATTGCATTAGTGGTATAAGAGAAGTAGTCCGGACAAACTTTAAAAATAAAAATTATTAAAGGGCCATAACTCAAACAAAAATCATTGAACCGGAAAATGCTGACAATATGCACAACTAGACTTGAAACTGATCATTCCTGTAAAGTTTGGATGAAATTGCACCAGTAGTTTATGAGGAGTAGTCCGGACAAGCTTTTGTGTATCTGGCAACACACAGAAAAAGAAACCTTTTTGTCAAAGGGCCATAACTCGGCCAAAAATCATTCAACCGGAAAACCCGTGCAATATGCGCAAGGACTTGAGCTACAGATCAATCCTGTAAAGTTTCATTGAAATTGCATTAGTGGTATAAGAGAAGTAGTCCGGACAAACTTTAAAATTAAAAATTATTAAAGGGCCATAACTCTGACAAAAATCATTGAACCGGAAAATGCTGACAATATGCACAACTAGACTTGGTACTGATCATTCCTGTAAAGTTTGGATGAAATTGCACCAGTAGTTTATGAGGAGTAGTCCGGACAAGTTTTGTGACGGACGGACGGACGGACAGACAGACAGACGTACAGACAGACGACGGAGAAGTGATCCCTATATGTCGCCACTACTCCCTAGAGGCGACACAAAAATCATACAAAGTGTACAAGTATTTAGAGAATATACAAATTAGATTAGGTCCTAAAACAGCTGTCTCTTCTAGCAATATGTTTCTTTTATTCATTTCATCAAGTGTACTTGGTGATTCACTACGGACAACTGTTCAAGTATTGACAGAATCACTTATATATGAGCCGCGCCATGACAAAACCAACATAATGCATTTGCAACCAGCATGGATCTAGACCAGCCTGCGCATCCGCTCAGTCTGATCAGGATCCATGCTGTTCGCTTACAAACCGTATAACAAGTAGAGAAACTGATAGCGAATAGCATGGATCCTGATCAGACTGCGCGGATTGGCAGGCTGGTCTGGATCCTTGCTGGTCGCAAACCCATTTTGTTGGTTTTGTCAAGACGCGGCTCATATATAGAATAGACTACAGATATGTATTGTATCATAGTTTGAGGACCTTAGACACTTTTGAAAATGTGTCAGAGTTAAATCGTATACACATACATGCACAGTTCATTAACTAGAGTGCAGGTATTAGTTACCCACACTTCAGAGCATGCCCATTGATTGGCTTATTTTTTCTGGGGTTTACTTTTGTGACAACACTGAACAGAATAAGGAATTACAATAGAGATGTCGCATTCAGATTATCGTTCATTGGTAACTTTTTCCAGGGGTTTCATATGGTGACAACTGGGAACGTGTGTTTATTTTTGCATACACTCTGATCTATACTAGGGGGCATAACTCAGGAGCTATGCAAATCAGATAGCCTCATGTTTTAATGCTCTTTCTATTACTAAATTAATGTACATGTAGATATATGTAGATATAAGTATTTTAGAAATATTTAATTAGCCAGGATATTTTGGTTTACTTAATTTGTTTGAGGCTGGATTCTTTACTTTATTGTTTGAAATACTTTAAAGATAACTTTCTGAAATATTTTTACTTTACAGGTTATAAAAACAAACTCTAAGCTTTAAGAAATTTAAATCTCTTTAATGTAGACTGAAAGATCGACAAAAGGCACACAAATGTTATTTAATGGAATTCTGTGAGGTTTTGTATTGAGACCAAGAATTAAATGAAAGACATAAACCAAAAGTAAAAATAAGCTTTGACAGTATAAGATGTCCACTCACTATACGATCTGAAACCACTTGCCCGACAC